AGAGCGCGACCGACACGCAGCGCGGCGAGACAGGGTGCGTTAGAGCGCGGACACGTCCATCAGTGCGGTCATCCCGCGTACAGTCGCACCGCTCTCCGGGCCCCGCTGCGGCCCATCGGCGCTCAGCGAGCCGCGGCGGCACTCACTCGCACTGCCGCTCCCCGACGGCAGAGTTCAGAGCCAGACACCGCCGCCTGGTCCAGTCGAGGGAAGGAGAAAAGGTGGCCGGTGGTGGGTCAGAGCGCCCCGGCGGCGGCAGCGATGACGGCGTGGGGACGTGACGGCATCCGACCGGCGCGGGCGCCGGCTGCCCTGCATATGTGGAGCTTCTCGAGCGCTCTCTCTTCGCATCTCCGTGCGTCCGACTGGGTCAAAATGTAACCGGCCCACCTTCCGGCGATAGTCTTCTTTTGAAGACATCGGCAATCGGAGCAACAAGAACATGTCGGTGGATAAGCACTAACTATAGTTCCAAGCTCATGTCTGCATATCACGCGCCCCCGTTCTCTGTCTTCTCTCTTTTTCTCGCCTCTCTGCCGCGCGCTCTGCTCCATGCAGGGCTGACGGCTTAGAGGCAGGCCGCGCCGGCCTGTCGTGCGCGCTGACCGCTCGGCGGCCGGCCCGGCCAGTCATTCAGCCCACCTCCTCACGGCGCAGCGCTGCCGCGTGGGCAGGGCGGCGGCGGCCCGCGCGGCAGCCCGTACATGGAGCCGACCGGAGCCAAACACCAGCCCGTCGGACCGGTTCCGCGGCCCGCGCGCCGCCTCGTGCGAGGCCCGCCCGCCCGACCGGACACCGGCGCCCGGGCCGCCCGCTGCTCGGGCAGAGAGTAGCCGCCGACTGCCGGAGAATGAAGTCAAACCCCGGACATCAACCGGCGAGGTGACTAGTCAGGTTGGTTGAGCTGCGAATACGGGAAGTAACTATCTTCCCCCGCCGGTGGCATTCGACACGATGGATGAGTCGCGACACCCGCCGGACAGCGCGACGATGGCGACACCGGTCCGACCGGCCGGTGGGCAGTCCCCAGTAAACAGCGCAGTCACCTCCGGTGCACGTCGGACAGCCTAATCGAGATGGCTGGTGTGATGGCAAACCCAGTGGCGCTCCGGCCACTACCCGCCACCGCAGTCAACGGATCGGCACAGTGTGGCCAGAATAGTCATACTCGTGAGTTGTAGAAAAAGATCCGACGTAAAAAGTTGTCTGCTATAAAAAGTGAAGAACAGCCGACTGCAGCTTCCAGCCATTCAATGAACAGCGCTGAGCGTTCAACATTGCTATAAAAACGGCACCTAGCCTGCACTCATTGACTGGATCAACAAAAGCGTGCCAAACAAGAAACAAGCCATAAAATCCAATGCCAGATTTCCGTGTACTTCCATTGAATAAACAATAAGCAAACCAGACTCTGCAGACTGTGCCAGACTGCGCCTATGTACATTCAGGAGCCATGATATGAATCAGCATAGGAGCCAGGACGGGCCAAAAGTCAGGGCCGAGTCAGGAGTCGGGACTGGACCAGCTGGAATCCAGGCGAGTCAGGAGTCGGGTCCGGGTCAAGAGCCGGGACGGGCCAGAGGTCAGGACAGGTAAGAAGTAGCGATCTGAGCTCCCTGATCTGGAAATCGGCCAAGGCAGAACCAGAACAGAGCTAGGAGTCAAACAGTGGCCGGTACAGAAACAGGACGACACGCCAGCCTACGGCCAACGCCCATCTGACTCGAGGCCGCCGTCTGAATTGGCAGCGCCGACGCCCGGTCGATGGCAGTCCTGGCGGCGCCTCGAACTGCCACCAGCCCTGTCGTAAGAGAGCTGATCGATGGAGACCAGGCGGCGACAGGGAGAGCTTCGCCGGCCACCGGAATAACCCTCCCCGATGGAGGGGAAACTGAGCCAGGGAGGCCACTGAGTAATCGCTCGATAAGCTTGGTGGCACAAGTGTGCTACGCGATCAGCACATGGCACGAGTGATGTGCAGCAATCGCTTCCTTACTGCTTTACTTTTTCTGAGCAGGGCTCCAGGGCAAAAACTGCCGGACTGATTGGCTTCTTACTTTAGCCAGCTGACCTGACCACCCCCAAATTAACTCGTCGTGTCCGATGCCAAGTGATTTCCAACAGCGAAGCCCGTCATTCATTACACGTGTATCGAGGCTCGATTTCGCTCGACTTAGCGACGGGGCTGCAGCCGGGCCGCCGGCGGCACCGGCCAAGTCAGCTGACCGGGCCGATCTGGCACGGGGGAGCCCGGCCGGCTGACAGGACGCCGGCGGCGCTGGCAGGGGGCACAGCCCCGTCGGTAGGGCCAGGACGGGGGGCGCCGCTGGCAGGGGGCTCTGAGCTACCGGCGGCGTGACGCTCCCAGTCAGCGCCGCCGACGGGCAGGTTAACCCGTCACTCATCTGCCGTCAGATCGGCGCCCCGTTGGCTCACTGGGTCAGGGTGATCGGATCATCGAGTAGACACAACGGCGGGCTGTGGCGGACGAAGGGCGGTGCGGGGACACCTCCGGCCGGCCGACCGACCCTCGTCCGTCCGCCTGTTGTCGTTGGACGGTCATCAAGAATCTGGCCGCGGCCGACCGGCCAGCGGTGTGCCAGAAGTCCTGTCGACCGCCGGCGCCTGCCGCCGCTCTCGACATCGCCGCCTGCCTACAGAGCACACAGGCCGACCAGGGCCGGTGGCCGTCCGCCGACACTGGGGCCGGAGTTCGACATCCACGGGCCCCTGACCCGATATAGCCGCCGGGCAGCACCTGACCGCGCGATGACAGTGTGGCTCTGATGTCATTCGGTGATAAAATAGCTGCCAATGACTTTCACAGCCAGTCGGCAGGAACGGCCGAGCGCAGGCGTGCTGAAGTGTCAGCTGTTTCAGCGGTAGGTGACGAAAATACGCCAGGGATCAGACGGCTTCGAGTAAACTTGGAAATTTTTCTCCCAATATAAATGGTAGCGAAATTCGAGGAACAAATGAAAATAATTATTAAAACGACACTTCGTGACTAAGTATCAAGCTGAAGTCTCAGCCCAACAGCAAACATCTGTCCGCTCAAGACAGACGGTGGTCAGCATTCGAGCTCACTCCAACAAACACCTATCTCAATATTGCATATCCCCTGGGATGACCATACCCGACGGCATCAGTAGTCAGCTCTCGCACAGCGCAGCACAGCGCTGATCCCGTAACGGTCAGCCGGAGGGTAGAGGCGACGTCCAGTGGAGGTCGATCTCGTGCAAATGAGCCCCGACTGGCGCCCGCCATGGGTCAGTTGTACCCGCTGCACGGAGGTCATTTGCATAGAGAAAACAGCCGCATTCCGGCCACTACGACACCCTCGCTTACTGGGGAGTCGCAGACCGGTTCTGGCCGGCCGCGGAGACCACGCTGTGGATGTATGGTACGCCGCCAGAGTATCTCGTCGGTCTCGTCAGCTCAAGAACAAGTGAAGTCCAATCTCTTAGGGTCAAATCAATACCTAACCAGAAAAACTTGCACGACTTTTCATATGGATATCTCAAACAGCATACACCATCTAGCAAACATCCTGCGATTGAGACCTTGTCCCTAAGGCCACGACGGTAGCCTAGACTCGTGAGCAGAATACAAAGTTCGGCCGGGTAAACGTATATGACGAGCAAACACACCAGCACAAAATGACACCAGTGTCCTCGAGCCAGCCAAGTAAGGGCATATGTCGGCACAAAGGCGAGCGTGCCTGCGCCTCAGGATTGTCAGTCAGTTCACGCACATGGAAAGTGCCTCAAGGCGAGCCGGTCGAGAGCAGGTGCTCCGTGTCGCTGACGCGGGGTCCGGGTTCCGGATCCTCCGGACTCCAGAGGTCGGTATGAACTGCTGACCTAGAATAAGTCCCAACCAGGCTGGGGATCGATTAAAACATCCAACCAGAAGGCAGCGCTTATTTCTTTGGATAGCATGTATCCAGATTCCAGAATCAGCACTCAGCCACCTGATCAAAGAGGAAATTTGACAAGCAAAATGACAAATTGCTTTTCTTTTTTTTTAGCTGTGAAGAAAATTTCTCATGTCTAATGCATTTCTGTCTTTAAAATACTGACCAGATAATATTGTGCTATGTCAAGAAATTGAAGGAGCATTCATGTTATTTTCATTCATTATTCAAGCTGAAAATTTTCAGCCTGAAACCATGACATAGGTAATAATTTCAGCAAGGCATTCATAGCATACAACATTTGAAAGAAAAAATGATAAACTTTATGGATTGGAATTTATCTTTTACATCTCAAGTTAATTTACATAATTTCTTTTTTTGGATTAGAGACAGGTAACTGCACAAAGGCTTCTTAAAAAGTCGGAGTATAAAAAATTGAGCCAAGAAATTGAACTGCATATCTCGGGACTAGCACTGCATACATAACTAAGATCAATTAGCACTGCCAAAAGGATAAAATGACAAAATCACTGAGCAACCAAGTGCCTAACCTGTTCCTTGATTCTCCTGGAGGTGACAGCAGTGTATGATTTCACTTTCTCTATGAAACCCATGGTTTCGCATAACACCCACACTCAAGAGAAGGGGCAGCCACAGCACCGTCGGCCTGGACTGGCAGCCTATTTTTGGGTCAGCTTATCTTGGCATCATGCACAGCTCAGAGCTAGCACCATCTGTTGAATCACATGTGCAGCTTCACCTTGGCTCCTGACCTCTGGGCACACGTAATTCCACCACCACAAGATTGCATTGCCATGCTTCGGATCACCACCATGAAATTAAAAAAGCAAGGCCTACTAGGGATTGAGAGCCCTGACAAGTGTAAAACATACATTTCATTGTATAATTGAGTGAAAAATTCGTTTTTTTATTAATTTTACCCATAAATACCTGCTAATACTGTCAGGGGTACCACGTCGACGTTGAAACCACATTTCACAACGGACAGTTCGTTCTAAATACTGATGTAAGGCAATAATTACGAAAATAACTTAGAATTAAGCAAATCTAAATGAGTACTCACCCTCTCTTTCGCCCTTCCAGCATGTTTTCGAACTGATCTTGCAATAAATTCCGGTTTTATCTCAGACATCTTCAGCGGGGAAGGCGGCGGCGATTGCGACGCCTTATTCCCATTGGGCCCCGACTGCGGCTGCGAGCGAGTTGTTGACATTACGGTACGGAATTCTCTATCGACGACCAACAGGTGGAAACCGAGCGTGGGAACCGTCCACCTCACGCCGCTCCCCGAGCCCGGCTCACAGAATCATGCAGTCCACGGGCCACGCGCGAGCCCCGGCAGCCACACCGCGCACACCAGCAGTTATTCGAGACTGGCCACGGACCCGTCCGCCGGCCCGCGAGCGACCGCCGCGAAAACGTCAAGAGCCCCCGGGGCCCGCGAGGTGCCGTGCCAGCTTGTCCTCATTCTCGCCCGGTCCGCCCGCGGACAGATGGGTGCAAAAATAGACACATCTGACCCGTTCGTCTTCAACCGCGACAACATTATGGTGTCTCGTGGTCACCAATAATGAAAATGAACATTGGGCAACCAAAATTTTATATCGATTTAGTAAAAAGCGCCGGAATACTATGCGAGAGTTGCAAGGCTGCAACGCGCAGAGTGAGTAAAATTTGCACCTCGCTTCGATCGCACACGCTTAGGCTCAATACCTCGCAAATACTTAGCTATAAATTAATTTGATTTTCCGCCAAATAAAAGATAAGCAGCGATCACGGAGTAAGCACGGATCTTTTGCTATAGGAGTCCGTATTTGAGAGGAATGACAGGGCAACTGCCGAAAATTGTTGACCGGCACGAGCGATTTTGACCAGGGGAGGGTCCTTCGAGGTCACGAACAAACACATGCCTACTCTTGGGGAAGCCATAACCCTTGAACCCCCGGCTCCCACCTCCCACTTGGATCCACCAGTGCGAGCAGCGGAGACGGACGTCTTCGAGCAAAACCAAAGCACGAGCGCACATTATTTCCCTCAAAATTGATACAGCCGTCACAGCAAGGAGACTCACTCACACCCGTTCTATCCCAATACACTGCATCGATCCACTAGCTGTGACGCTGACTCACCAATCCCATTACTCGACAGGAAACACATGTGCAAACCAAGTGACACGGGCAGCCATCAGGGCTACCTAACAACCACTTCTAACTAGCCCGGTAAATAGCATCACCGAATGCAGCTGGTATTTAATAAAATGTATTTAACACCAACAAGAGCACGATCCCACACGATCCCCACCCACGCACGCACGCAGATTGCAGGCAGTTGCACTTTTCGTGACAAAAGAAACCACAGTCGGACACGTGCCCTGGTCCAGCGAGGACCCGGGATCCGGACACCCACCACCGGCCTACTGCACCTCCCGCCCGGGACCCGGGACCGGGATCCAGCCACGTGCCTGCTCCCCAATCGCGCAGAACCCAACAGCAAACGGCGCACTTTCGGCCGACGCACCCGGAACGTTTACCACAAAATAAGGCATCACTCAGTGCCGGGGGGCACGCAGCGCGCGCGCGCGCCGGACCCCGCGTGGAATTGGCGCGCCGTGCGCCCGTTGTGACTCCCGATCACCCCCGTCCGTCAGCGGGGCCGAATCAGTCGCCGCCACCGCCGTCTACCGTCCGTCACTGTCCCTCACAACCGTGCGCCCGTGCCTTCCTGCAGTGGCCGCTTGGGTGAGACCCCGTATCGGGCCACACACTGATCACGGCGGCCTCCTGGTCCCTGCAGCGCCGGGGAACAGCGTCTGTCGCCGACCGACGCAGGCCAGAGGTGCCGAGCCGTCAGCTCTCAGGAGGCAGACCAAGGAGGCCCGGGTATCATCACTGGACAGGGGGCCAAGTGGCGCCAGCCTGATACCCCACAGGGAACCCGATCCGAGCCGACCGTGCATGGCACAACGCCGGCGCAGTCTGGCGACCATATGCAAATAGTGTTGTGGTAGATGGTTTACGTTCAGCACAGTGCTTAGTGATCACACAAATAAACAAAACTAGAGACTGCCAGCGAGCCACAGTCTCACCCTGATATAGCGTCGTCCACCTAAGCTACACTCGATACACAGCGGCATCACATGTTACGTAATTTGATACAGAGACTGACCAGGACAGCTGAACCGAACGAATGACATTCCTCTTTTATCGTCTTGAAAGTTTCTACCGGCAGGACTCGGACGGCGCTCACCGCAGGAGCGTCACCTATGACTGTGGCGCCACCTATCATGGCGACTGCAGCGCCACCTATGCCCTGGCGGCTGGCTTCCGGCCCTTGACGACCACGGGCTGGTCCTTCAGCGACCCGCGGCGCCTCTTTGCCGTCTGAGGGGGAGGAACATGGGTCAGCACAAGGAAAGCAAAAAGAAAAACGTTGATTAACAACCGAGCAATATGAACATCAAGTAAACGCCATCTCTAAAACGACACGGAAGCATCATTGTTACTGATTCCCATATTTGCTTGGTCGAGAACAAACAACGTGCGGCATACCAAGCACAGTGCGCACCAGGCTGGACTCGGGTCACAAACTTTGTGTATGCACCAAAGTTCAACCACGGTATGACACCCAGTGTGCAGGCGATCGTGCATATGTAGACATATTACCAGTCTGACACACCCGCGCGGCCTGACGTGGCATTGAACCGTCACACGCCATACCCAGCAGGATGACGAGGGACAAGCATAGCAGCGAAATAATCACACAGGTAGACTGGAAACCCGAAACACTGCCAACAACTACCCAGCATGCTCCATTCTCAGATACAAGGCCACGCGCCGGGAGCGCGTGCAGAGAAAAGGCGCCAAAACATACTCAGTGGCTCACCGAATCCTGGCAATATGCAGGGAAAACAGACGCATTAGCAAAATCGGCCACCAACGTTTGAAGAGGTGAATGAGTCGTAGTAGAATATACCGCGTATTTTGAGAAAGCACAAGGGTAACAATAAAAAGAAACGTTTGATCGAGTGGTTGTCTTACCTTCTTGGAGAGCGTCACCTTGCCGCGCTTGATGCGCCTCTCCCTCTTTGGTATACTCGGACGGTTAAACTCGTCAGGCTTCTTCACCCTGTGCAGAGAGAACCACTCTGTCAGTCGCATAGCTCCACAACCACCGACCACGCCCGATCAACGACAATCCACGGCCTATATCGGCAGCCTGTTGTCCTGTCACTGTGACCAGCGGCCCAAAACAGCAGCAACTGAGCGGATCACATGCAGCTGAAAAAATCAGTGTGACCCACCCACCTGTATATCCGCACCAGCCAGTGCAGCTCGGTGGTGTATTATATGGTGTTATCCTGTCGTGCCCACCTGTATATCCGCACCAGCCAGAGCAGCTCGGTGGTGTATTATATGGTGTTATCCTGTCGTGCCCACCTGTATATCCGCACCAGCCAGAGCAGCTCGGTGGTGTATTATATGGTGTTATCCTGTCGTGCCCACCTGTATATCCGCACCAGCCAGAGCAGCTCGGTGGTGTATTATATGGTGTTATCCTGTCGTGCCCACCTGTATATCCGCACCAGCCAGTGCTCGGTGGTGTATTATAAGGTACAATACTGTCGTACCCACCTGTATATCCGCACCAGCCAGTGCTCGGTGGTGTATTATAAGGTACAATACTGTCGTACCCACCTGTATATCCGCACCAGCCAGTGCTCGGTGGTGTATTATAAGGTACAATACTGTCGTACCCACCTGTATATCCGCACCAGCCAGTGCTCGGTGGTGTATTATAAGGTACAATACTGTCGTACCCACCTGTATATCCGCACCAGCCAGTGCTCGGTGGTGTAGGCCTCCTCCAGGTAGGTGAGCGCGATGTTCTTGTTGCCGATCTCGGCGTTCCTGGTGCGATCGTAGCCGGCCGGCACGCGGTAGTCGGTCTGTGGATAGAGCCGGGCTGGTCAGTCGAAGGACGGACGCACGGTAGTCCGTGACAAAAAGGCGGCAGCAGATATCGATAGGCACTGATAGCTTGCCTAAAGAAATTATAGTGGCACGTAACTAACGTTTACCGATATTACCACTCTTTACCGATATTTACAGTAATCTTACATATTTTGTAGCAGGGCAGAACAAAGTATACCCGCCGGTAGTAAACTATACCATGATATAGAAAGTCGATATTAGGGACATAAAATGGGATATTCATTGATTCTTTCAAGGGCGTCTGCTGCATGGCTGACAGTTTTACGCCCAGAAAACGTTATCAAGAATAGAAAGCAAATAAAAATATGTAAAAAGTGTCCTTCGCCCACCTTCATCTCTCCGAATCTGTAGTAGGACAGTTTGTACATGAGACAGTTGAGCAGCGTCCGCGATCCGCCAGAGTCGACGCGGAACTCGCCGCGCTCGGTGAAGAAGTCGCTCTCCTTGATATCCTGCGGGTGCTCGCCCTCGGCGATACGCACCATCCACAGGAACTTGTTGATGTCGTCACCCGAGTAGCCTGTAATGGGACAAGGTGTGTGGTGAATCAATGGATGAGGGATGAACGATGTACGAATTCAGCATTAGTATAGAAAACTGTCTAACGTGACATGCATGCACTTAATGCCATTCCGCGAAATAGTGCTGAACACAAAGTTGAATGTAACCCAGTACCCACCATAAAATCTTACAAGGTATCTCGTCATGATCATGCACCGATCATGACACATGACATGGCATGATCATCACACACATGACACATGATCATGACACCAGCGATCCCGATTGCAACTCTTCAAAACAGTCCACGATATAAAAAAAACACAATAACAGTAAGGCAAAACTAACTAAATAAATATGTTGTCAATATAACGGAAATACCCAATGGCTTCTTCATATCTATACATGCTTTGCCCGGCGGCTCAACATTAGCCACGGGTGCTCCACCCGTCCTACCCACCGATCACTAGTAACCCCATTCTCCCGTCTCTGACCCACCGATCACTAGTAACCCCATTCTCCCGTCTCTGACCCACCGATCACTCCGCCGAAGATGACCAGCACGTAGTCCACGTCCAGCGCAGTCATAATCTCGTAGGCGGCACTCTCGTTGGACGACATGGCCTTGCCCACCTGTAGAGGGCAGAGACACGTTACAGGACAGACGATGGTGGTCAGTCACAAATATATGCTATCAGATATGGCGCGATTCGTGCATATTCAAGAAGACACAAATTAAGTACCTAACACAAAACATTTTCAGTGCAGATCAAACACGTCTTTCGAAGCCGCCAGCGGTAAACATATGACAATCGGCGATGTTTTGAGAGGGGTATACCTCATAATGCAACGCACTGACACATAACTGAACTTAGTTCCTGACATAATCAACTACAAACACGCAGACAATGATGTGTGCATACGATGTTATCCCGCGCCCTGCTGGGGGGGGGGGGTGTTTGAACACCCCCCCTTGTGGTTTTTCGCGAATATCTCAAAAACGGCGGCGCGGAGCGCCGCCGTTTTTGGTACACCTTATCATACATCAATTCTACACATGTTGTGAAAATTTCAGACCAAGGTCATTCAAGGTCAGGTCACCAGGTCACTTGAAGTGACCTCACCTCATAAAAACTTTCAATGTCTGTCATAGCTACACCGAGTGACCGATCGCTTTGAAACTTTCAGCGATTGCTAAGGGCAATAGCATGTACAAAATGTATATCTCAGAATTTTGATATCGATGACCTAAGGTCAGGTCAATTTTGCGACCTCGCCATTATAAGTCAATGGGAGAAAATTGAAATGCGCCTCTTTTGGATGCAAGACATTATAAACACTCCCAAACACCGAATTACAAGTGGTTTAGACACACTGAACATGAAAATGGTGTCCGTGACCCTTGTTTATGCCCTGAGGTCATCTTAGGTCACGAATGGTATCTAACAGTTTTTCGCAAATAACTTTTGATAGAGGCATGCTAGAGCGATGAAAACGCCTTAGATGTGTTCAGCTCGACGATACGGATCGTCTGATATGCAACATGACCCTTTCCGGTCAGGTCATGACCTTGACCTGAGGTCAAATTTTCAAGTTGACCTTTCAAGGTCAAGTTATAGTTCATTCGATGCGTCTTGACGAGAGGAACACGATGCCGGTAAAAGTAAGCTCGTACAAGGCTTGGGTCAAAAGTTATTGCAGAAAAACTGTTTTCGAAAAAATCGGCTATTTTTGCAGTTTTTGCCCCCTGCAGGCAAAACTGTTGACGTTAGGTCAAATCTGAGAGAATTGCTCAGAAAGGGCGTTAATAGGGCTATCGAATGCGCTTTTCCGCGGCGCTGTAGCTCTATTGGTTCCCGAGTTATGCGTTGGCTTCTTGGAAATTTTCGACATTCGACCTGGAAATCGGCGAAATTTTGCCTTCAATGACCTCTGGTGACCTGACCTTTGACCTGACCAAAAAATTGACCGAAGTGATTTCGTCATTATTTTTGACGCTCTTTCGAACGCCGCCTTCCGCGTATCGCTACGTGGCCCAGGAGCCGAGTTACAAGGGGGGGGGGGGTGTTCAAACACCCCCCCCCCCCAGCAGGGCGTGGAAATCCAGGACCCCCAGCCGGGCGCGGGTTAACTGATGTGAGTTAGTAAGTGCCATATTGTGCGATCGTTTGACGGCGTTGGCCGCTGGCCATGTGCTCGTCATTCAGCAGTCGTTACTACACTCTACATCCGTTGGAGGGGCGGAACCCACGCGGCTGTAACAGCATCGCCGTCCTCACCAGTGCGATGTGACTGTTGTTCCACGTGTTGTTGTCAACCAGCGTGGTGCGGTTGGCCATGCCCGCTATCTGGTAGCCGTAGTCCCACCAGGACATAACGCGGGCGTCCTCGGGCGTGTTCTGCCACAGCCAGTAGTAGCCCTCGCGGAAATCGTCCAGGATGTTCCGCTCCCTGTAACGGCAGGTCAGGGGTCAGTGAACGGACCGGGAAGTTTGTTTTTCCTTATCTGGAGGGATAAGAGAAGTTAAAGGCCCGAGGTTACGCTATGATCTGAACGGTGCAGGAAGGCAGACAAGTCGACTTTGCGAATGATTTACTGTACCTGTAGTTAAGGCGCAACTAGTCTGTAAGTGGGACATTGCAAAACTAGCCCTGCAAAACTAACCCAAGAAGAGAATGCAAATCAGTCCTAGAACAGTACCTTTAACTAACTTTTGGCAAAACAAAACGGAACATAGAGCTGTATGTAAACTTAAATCTCTCTAAGTTCCTGTAACTACATATATAGGTACGAAAGGTAACGTATTCCTGGATTGCTGATAAGCAATCTATGATGAACCCGATACCGAGCTATTTTCTCTGCGGTAATACATCAATAGTCTTACAACAGCATGCCACCACCCAACCGGCCACCATTCTATCTTCCGGGTACGTCAAACCAACACTCATATAAGTCTAACCCTTCCCTCCCTGGCCCACCTCCCCATCCGCCAGGACACCTACCCGCCGCTGTAGGAGGCCAGCACGATGCTGGGGCTGCTGTAGGCGTTGCTGGTGACCCAGGTGCAGTGCACGGCGAACATCATCAGCATCATGATGACGGCCACCAGGCTGAGGGTCCGCACGTTCATGCCCAGGCCGTCCGACTCGGCTGACTGACGCTCGTGACGCATCTTGCGCAGCTTCCCGGCCTGGTGGAGCGGTGGAGGAGCACGGTCAGGGACCGCTTCATAATCAGGTGAAGGACGGGAAGTTGCGGCATTTAAAATATAATTTCTCACAAAATTAGCTTGTTTGGCTCAACTGGTGGAAACCATCAAAATACTTTCAGTTTGGGCTCTAAGTACCACAGCAATGATCGGCACAGCTGCTAAGCAAATACCTCATTTACTATTTTCAACTACTGCTAATATAATTGACTGGAACTCGATAATATTCACTAGCCAGTCGTGAGGATTGTCACGTCATCCCTAGTCATCCCTAGTCTACCTTATCGTAGAGCTGTTTGTTGCCGTTGGCCGGGTCATCATCATCACTGTCCCCTGATGAGCCGTCCCTCTCCTCTCGCAGGTACAGACTGAAGAACTGGCTGAACGCGATGGCAGAGAGGACGCACACGACCGGCGTCAGCGTCAGCATCAGGCGCACCATGACGCCGGCGAAGTAGACGGCAGAGACGGCGTACAGCACGACTGTGGGCAGACGGGGAGCGGTCAGCGGTCAGAGGGCCATAGGGAGTGCGGGGAAATGGTGACGTGCAACAGTAATTAGAAGCAGCTGCGGCCCTAGCTAAACCAAAGCAGATTCTCAATTCTAATAGCTATAACATCTTCTCTACCGGAGCTTGCCAGCTTGTTGATTTTTTTCTCGTCCCCATACCACAGGGCCCCCTACAGCATAGCAATAGCCTCAAACACTGAAACAACCGCAACTCTCTCCCGCCATTCTAAACCCCTCTCAAACCCCCCCCCCGGCCCCCACACACACCAGACCAGCCAACTCACTGAAGACGCGTTCGTCGTTGATGTTTTTGATGCAGTACCACAGTCCCACCGGGTAGGTGAGCACCAGAATGTGCAGGTCGAAGAAGAAGCTGAACCAGGTGGTCGGCTGGTGCTCCGACACGGAGGCGATGATCGGGATGTGGATCTTGGCGTAGCCTGTGTCCCAGAGCGAGTAGAACCTGGAGGAGAGGCCAAGAGTGCACAATGTTACACATGACGGCGTGTAACAGACGGAACACCAGCTTACGTCAGGGCATATTCGGCGCACGACAATCAAGAAAACATTCAGAAGTGCAGTGTGCACAGCTGCTATCATTTGCAGACCTGGCCGGCACAAACCATCCTGACAGGAAACTTCGGATCCGGGTTGGGAATTAGTCAGGACGGGAAGCGTTTGTCAGGACAATGTGTTCGTCAGTTCAAAAACAGTTTCAGCTCGACTCCCGGACCTATTAACCAGATACCATTAGTCACCCAAATTTCCGTCTCCGGGACGAACCATCTCCCAACCTGACAACCATTTCCAAAACACATCCTCCTCCCAAGTCACGTGTCATATTATACCTCTCCATTCCCAAACACGATGACTGATTACTCAAGTCAGGGAGCCCAAATGACCCCCCCCCCCCCGCACGTACCGGCCGCTCCAGGGCGCGATGACTCCGGCGTACGTCAGGCCTACCACGGCAAGGAACACCAGAGCCGCCGAGCCGGCGGCCGCCACCAGGAAAAAGTGCCGCAGCTGCGCCCTGCTCACGAACGGCTGCAGGTACTTGAGCAGCGCGAACGCGTTGATGAGCGCGAACACACCTGCAAACGTAACGGGAGAAGTGTGAATATGGTGATATCGGTCAGAATGACAGGATGGAGACGAAATGGAATGGTGGGAAAGGAGAGTAAACGGACATCAGTGAAGCTTAATCAATTTGTTTACGTTCTAAGTGAAGGGTACGGAGTTGAAGGCTGCGTCAAATTCAAAGGTGCGAGACGTAGGATTTGGCTGCAGCGAAAAGGTGCAGCGAAACGATGCGTTCGAGTAGGAGGTAGTAGCATCGTTTACATTGCAATTACACCCACGCGCCCTTGTCTTATGTTGGCCATACATGCCCATAACTTCGAACACGAAACGTTTGCCAACAGACAATTCAAACAACATAAATTGTGGCAATATCAACCGAAACAACGAGGCACTTTGTTTAACCTTACCTACCTCCCCAAGGATCCAACCACGTCCTACACCACCATACTTCACCCTGAGCGACCAAAATTAACCACATCCTTTCACACCTATCCCCCAAGCGGGCACAGGTCTCCGCCCATTTTTACTACCCGCGAACGGTGTACAGTCGTCTATCCAGGCGGGCACGCCCCTCCCGCAGCGACACTAGGTAAATGTCAGCAGTGACAGAGGGGCGCTGAGCTGTGTGCTGAGCAAGCCACCCTCGGGGTCCCTTGGGTCGGCTGGCCGGCACCAATACCCCTGAGGAAATCGTACCCTGGGGTTCAGGCGGGGGAATACCCACACGGTGCTGATCAGCGAGCTTACACGGCTGAACGGGCGGCTGGCGACACCCACCGTGCCCTGCGGCCGATTCCATCAAATAATTCGCTAGTCTAGGCGCAATGTTCCTCCCTAAAAAGCATAGTACAGAACTCACCAGCCAGCAATTTATGCTCACTGGTACGAAAATAATTTCACCGGCCGAATTCATGTGTTCGCTGGTGGAACGCTATTACACTTACCGGCCGAAGCCATGTGTTCGCTCGTGGAACGCTATTACACTTACCGGCCGAAGCCATGTGTTCGCTCGTGGAACGCTATTACACTTACCGGCCGAAGTCATGTGCTCGCTCGTGAAACGCTATTACACTTACCGGCCGAAGCCATGTGCTCGCTGGTCCGGATCGGTTGGAAGCCGACAAACGGAATCTGCATGGAGCAGAGCAGACCCAGGATGAAGAAGGTCGTGTAGGCCGTGTAGAGGCGCGTCGAGTACCGACCCATCAGCATCAGCGCGAAGACGTGCAGCGGGATCAGGTTGATGATGAACACGTAGCCGCCCCAGGCTGACACCTGTCAGAGGAGAACGGTCAGTCAGTGTTGGAGCTTTCACAGGAGTGTGCTACATTCGGACCGATCGGAAAACCCCTTATAGTAACGGTACTACCTCTAAGCGCCGGCAAAAGGGGCCACAGTACAAGTGGAGTCTTTCAGAAAAAAGAAACCACGAACGGAAAGATCGGAAGATCTCTCACCCCACGAGCCACACAGGGAACTTCCTCTCAAGAGATTACAGTCAGGGCGATCGAAAGAAGTCCGGTGTGCTACGTTCAAAAGGAGCGTGAAATACATAGCTGGGAAGAGGCTGGCTTTCAGGCGGAGCTAACTGCTAAGAATTGGTTCAAAATACGCCAGCTGCAGGTTCTCCCATTCCAACTTCTCGGTGAACCGGACGGTACCGGGCAGGTGCTGCGCCGGCAGCCATTCATAGCCGGTGAGGGCTGGTGAGAACGACTACAGCTATTTCGGTGAGATCGCATCCGCGGTAGGAAGGGCTATTAAACGTTATCCCACTGCTAATAAGGACGAAACTAGAGGTGAACGCAAAATTATACCGTTGTAGTAGCACCGATGTAGAAAAACATCGAACTCGGAAAAGGAAGTACCGAATCATAAGGAGGTCTGGATAGCTTCCGTGAGATATAACTCGCAGCGATAATTAAACATTCATGCTCGCTACGCAGTACGATAAGCCCAGAGCACAGGCTTCGGTATACTGAGGTCTATGACCAAAGCTAAGTTGCACTAGCTTCCTTTGGTAGAAGTAAAACCGAACGACTAAAATCACTTCACTCGTTCAATGACAGCACAGTCAAGCCCTATCGATCATTCCGACACAATAATTTCAGGTCGCACATATAAAGCATCACCTTTTCCCTCACACAACCGTGCCCTACCAGCTCGATACCTTTTCCCTTCCCGGCATACGCCGATGCAGCCTTTCATTTACCGCAAACCAACCCAGCGCTGTTACGCAAAAACTGTCCGGCGACTCCGGTGACCCGCAAATTTAGTCGTCAATCACACTGAGCAAATAGCGCCGGCCGCCGGACGGAGACGGTATGCAGGCTGATAAGACAGGGCGCTGGTCCTGGGGGCGGGTATCTGTGTGTTGACTGTGTGTCCATTGTGTGTGGGCCCGCCTGTGTCCGGCCCAAATAGCCGCGAGGCGTGGCAAGAAACAGCCGCCCGCCGCGGATGGAAGGCGGCCGCTGTTTGCACTGGGTAACACCAGAGCGCCTCGGGGAACGGCGATGGGTCGGCGCGCATCCATGCAAAGGTGAACACCTAGATATCACAGAGAATATTTTGATGAATTTGGTGCTGCGGCGTCCGCTCCCAAATTTCAATTTTAACAATACCGACATAGTCTTTAAACTATGCTAGATAAAACCATGAAGCTAAGTTGAAGGCTGGCATGCTGCGTTGTGCCACAATGCATTACCTATGCTGCTAATCTTGCATTACTGTCTCATGCTTTTCTCGCCATTCACATTAACTCCCCACTCACGTCTAGGCACAACCTCATCCCCTCCCTGCGTCTCACCATGTAGAAGTAGCTGAGCGCAGTCAGTGAGGCCCAGTACACCGAGCCCGTCTTCACGGAGCGCACCTGGAACACACATCACACCGGTTCGGTGTCAGGTCACGAGGGTATGACACACTTTGATCAGACAATAAAGACCAACATTAGGTTACATTGGTCAGATTCAGAGACACACCGATCGGAAAGGTATGACCCGGTGTCAGGTTCAACGGCACACCCATCGCATAGGTTACACATTACGCAACCCGGTACAACTTGACATCAGGCTCAGATATAAACGTATTGTGTGGGGTAAAAAAAAAAAACGGTACAGCCCAGGGATAAATTACATGGACAGCTGATCAGACCGGGTAAAAGGGAAACCCCCGATCAGACAGGGTACAGTGAAGCGGACTCATAATTCGGACAGGGCTCAACTGATATATGAACATCGTGACATGAACAAGGACCGTTTGATGTCAGAGTCTCTAATTCATGAGTGATGAGACTGGAGTAGATCGGCGGGACAGGAGTGACGTGACAGTACCACGACATAAAAAAACGTAAGAGAGCGGCAAGCAGCTCCTGCATAAATTCACATCCATGCAAACCGATATATCGTAATTATCGGCGATAAGCACAACCTTTATAGCTCATAAACAACTGCGCAGGTAAGACAAGCGGAAAGTGTTATTCATGTGTACGATGTTTAACAACCGTTCCAAGTGCGTCCGATGGGCCATCTACATTCGAACTGTATCATTTTGTACTCCATAAACACAAAACGAGACAGCATGCGCATTGCGCAGAGGTGGGACTTTGCCATACTACGGACACTGAGGCGTTCAAGGGGCCGGGGCAGTCGACCATGATAAGACACTTCCATATTTACATCAGCACGGGTACTCGGGTAAACCCCGCGCCCGGACAATGGTAAGGTACCCCTGAATTGATGAGGCTACCGTCAGCCCTACTGCAACTACAGTGCTAACCGACTCATCGATTTGCGCGATATGGAGGGGCAGGGAGACTGATCAATAACACACATACAGCGAAAGCCACGACAAAGGCGGCGCAAGTGCAACAGAGTGCTCAATTCAAACGGCAATCGGACAGAGCGCTTCGTCGACCCCTTTACATTCAGGACTTGACTTTTGGCCATGAATGTTATCGCGACATCACGGGTTAGTGTAAAATATTGACTACGAAACAGCCCGGAGTCACCAATCCAAAAAAGTAATCACCGCAACAGTCCACCACAGGCCTCGACTACCGTTATATTATATACTTCTACATGGCCCCAAGAGGCCTGTGACTCAGGGTAGGCAATAGGCATAAGGTGACAATCAAAACATGCCGTGGTAACATGACGTGGTTTCACAGCCCCCCCCCCCCTCCCCCCGCACACACATTTGTTCGCTGTCGGGGTGCGGACCACGTCAGTTGCAGCTCGATACGAGGATCCGGCTACGCGGTGGAAAACAGACCTAACATGGATACAAAGACAGGAACGGGACAGGGATATGTAACGGTTGACAGAAAAAGACAGTAACGGACAACCGAAAAACAATCACGGATAACGGAGAAAAACGGGACACGGACCAGGGACAGGGGACAGGGAAGCGGGAACACCAACAGCCAGGCGTTAGCCATTTGGGACCACAGGTGTTTGACAGGCGGTAAATGGCGAGTGACAGCAGGTGCGAGACAGGACGTGAATGGAGATAATCGGTAGACACTGACGATAGAAACCGAGCCAGCGAAAAGAGAGACGGGAAGAAGCGGAAAAAGGAGAGGGGGAGGACGGAGCCGCGTAAGGACAAATGGGGAGATGATATGACATCCGCCACAGAATCAGTGTGACGAAAAGTCCAAGCTTTGCACTAGTGCAGACAACATAGGGGCTTACACAACCTGAACGCAAAGCCCAACACTGGCAAGGCAACACAGGCAACACAGGCACGTCTTGGACTAGATACCATCGCCACTGCCACTCACAAAGACGAAGGTCCCGCCCCGACCCCGCACGTCCCGGTACAACTGTTACCATGACACCATCGGCATGGCACTCGCCAGGAAGAATCCCACAAATTCGATCCCGTACCGGCACAACCACCGACATCCATCGCCGTCACTCACCCAGAGAACGACAATAAACATGAGGAAGAACCTGCAGCAGGACATCCACAATCACCATACCTACCTCACCGAGGTGAACATGATCACTCACCCAGAGGAAGTAGGTGAACATGAGCGCGAAGATGGCGATGCCCTCGTTGTCATAGCTGCCGGCCACCGATCGACTGATGTATCCGGGCACGATGGCGATGAAGCAGGCAGCGAACAGACCGGCGCCGGTCGACCACAGCTCGCGCGTCAGCAGAAACGTGGCGATCGCCGTCAGACCGCTGGAATGGGGGAGAGAAATCAGCAGGAACGTGGCGATCGCCGTCAGACCGCTGGAATGGGGGAAATAAGTCAGTTAGGAGCGTGGCGATCGCCGTCAGACCGCTGGAATGGGGGAAATAAATCAGTTAGGAGCGTGGCGATCGCCGTCAGCCCGCTGGAAGGGGGGAGAGAAATCAGTTAGGGGCGTGGCGATCGCCGTCAGACCGCTGGAATGGGGGAAGAAATCAGTTAGGGGCGTGGCGATCGCCGTCAGACCGCTGGAATGGGGGAGAGAAATCAGTTAGGGGCGTGGCGATCGCCGTCAGCCCGCTGGAATGGGGGAGAGAAATCAGCAGGAACGTGGCGATCGCCGTCAGACCGCTGGAATGGGGGAGAGAAATCAGCAGGAACGTGGCGATCGCCGTCAGACCGCTGGAATGGGGGAGAGAAATCAGCAGGAACGTGGCGATCGCCGTCAGACCGCTGGAATGGGGGAAAGAAATCAGTTAGGAGCGTGGCGATCGCCGTCAGACCGCTGGGGTCAGGGGAGGTCAGTCAGAGGAAACATGGGTGGGTGTGGTGGGGTCACTCAGGTGGAACGTAGGTAACGATCACGTCGATCAGTGTCAGACGCTATGTTGGGGAAACTCAATCGGAGGAATGTGACGATTGCAGCTGTCAGATTGCAATTGGTGATGGAAATAATTTTTCATTGTTTTTTATAAAGAAAGGGAACTGTCTTTTCCTAACTTTGAGCCCATTTAGTCAAATTATGGCAGACAAAGGCAGACACACACAAAACAACACTTTATAGCTTGATGTACCAGAGTCATACAGATCCAGCAATGCCATACCTGATTACAGGCAAGCAGCACTCAGTTACCCTCCATACAAACACCACCGCCACTCCACACTGGACTGCTCACCTGAAGATGGGCGCCAGGAAGACGCAGATGTCCCTGATGTGGACAGGGATGTTGAGCAGGTCAAGTACATGGTGGATCAGACCTGAGGTCAGCATCAGCCCGGGGTAGACAGTGCCGCCCACAATCCGGCCCAGCGGGTACCAGGCGCGCTCGTCGAACCAGTTGAGGAAGTTGTAGAATCCATGCTTCACCATGTATGCTGTGGAGCGGTAGTTGAACCTGTGGGAGGCACACACTCACTGTATGTTTCAACCAGGGTATATAGAACAACGGGTACACCAACGACACGGAAAGCGCCCATTTTACCTGGATGAGTTACATGGTAGGTGATATATTTTTTGAATATGGAAAAATAGAGTATTCCATTCTGGCGAATAAAGACAAATTCATAAAGCAGTTATTTTTAAAATATATGTACCAGAAATAACATACTAACCATAGTTTAAAACTTAGTCTAAAGTTAGTTGAAAAGCGTATAGTTGATACTAAGATGGAAGGAATAAATGGAAGGCAGAAATGGCGCAGCTGTTTCATTCTTAAAATGTGTTCGCAAGCAGGATTTACGTGATGCTAGCGACATCTATGAATGTAATCGGGGATGCTGATTGGCTTATCGAGTCCGTGAGCAGTATCACTAATTTACGCTAGTACAGGGTTAAGGCAATGTGCGCATGCGCAGGAACTTGTGCTCTCATGGAGGGGCTTTTGGTACCTCGGGCAGCGCCCAATGCTTTTTGGACCTGTTATAGCCTCCGCATCGAAAAACGCTAGAGAGAAAGGTTGTAGAGTAAGCTTGAGGCTACCTTTCCCCACAATAATATTGGCACTTTATCTTTTAGCTTACGTGTGGGACTCGCTTGAAAAGGTCGATTTAACATGGAAACCCTATGGGGTAGTAGTTTTTGAGCGCCCATTTGGCCTAATTCTACCAACTGTTACTGGCTACCCCTGGTTTCAACTGCTCTGTGCCAGGGAAGCTGCCATTCACTCTAAAAATGGGCATGCAAGACAAAAAAAAAAACATTGATAAAACTTCAAAATTTCAAAATCAAGCAAATACTTTTGAAAAGTTGTGTTTAGGAAGTGACAGAGGAAGGCAATGAAAAGTTCCCATGAAATATAACTTTAAATAAAAGTTTATTTTCCCAAAAAGGCAAGTCATTATGCCCTTGAACTAATAAAATATTTTGATACAACCTTTCTGATCAACATGCTAAATACAACTGATGCTCTGCTTTTGTATAAGATTATGGAAAACAACACATTTTCAAGCAACTGCCAGCTGATTATGTCCATGTAGGTACTATCAAGAAGATGAAAATGGTAGAAGTAAAGCAGGCATCAACTGTTTTTTTTTTTGCAACCAAGGAGAGGCACTGTAGGTAGTTAAGTGGGTTTTTGGTGGTAGTTTTTAGGCTGTAGGTTGTAGGCTCTAGGTTGTAAGTAGGCAAAAAAAACAAGTGTAACACCTGCTTTATGGCTACCAAGAAAACATAGCTAATATAATCCTATAAATAGTTAATCAAGCATCCAAATTACTTTGATCAAGTAAAAAATTGAATGATAATAAATGAACAGAAGATTCAAACAAATTACACATCACCTAAATCAAAAATAATTTAAATGATGATCTTTGTCCAGCAGCTAAGATCCCTACAAATTTGTTAGTTTCCATAGATATTTACCCGACATATCTATTGCTGTTAGGTAGTGGCTCAATTTACGGAACTAGGTTTCATCCATAACTGAATATTTCAATGTGAATTTAAGAAATTCATTTAACTGGCCCTAAAAACAAGAAAAACTGAATAGAAATATATGAGACAAAGCCAAGTTTCAACGAAAATCACTGTAATTGTAAACGAACCCAGCGCGCCACAAATGAACCCTCACCATGGATCAAACTCGTGGATGATACTCTCAAAGCGAATAACCGCAAACAGCCGGCTTGAAAAACCAGCCACGCATGCTAACGCTAATATTGCAAAAGTTAGAAGCGTTGATACCCCAGAAGGGGTATTTAACGCTGTTTTTACGGAGGCACCGGCTTTCTTCGCCATGTTGGATTGTTTACGGTGCCGAAGAGATCTGTATCGATTTCGAGGCTTTGAACATTGGAAACAAACATTATAATGAAAAAAATGTTAAGTTGCTTTGAAAACATTACGGACGATGTTTTCATATTTTTGAAATATAAAGTGAATATTCAATCCACAGTAACATCAAATTTGCCTTTATTTTGTTTTATATCGATATCAAATATTGAGCTTCCTAGTCAGCTGGCCAGCTTGACGGCAAAGTCCACGTAGCTTCCTTATTTTGCTGCAAAACGTTAGCGATAAGGACATATGTGGTAAAAAATGAGCTTTGTTGTATTTTGTCAAAGAGCACGCATGCTTTGAAGTTTCAGGTAACCTCGCCCCACTTATGTGGTACCCCGATCCTCGACCCTCGGTTAGGAGGTCAATGTCAAGGTAGAGATCACGGGTCATGAGGTCAGGGTCTCCCGCGAGCCCCGGGTCTCCCGCGAGCCCCGGGCGCGAGCCCCGGGTCAGGGTCTCCCGCGAGCCCCTAAAGGACCGCCGCGGCGGTCCTTTAGGGGCTTTAGGCGAGGACGGAGGAGCACATAGAGACCACTTAAAAAACGATCTGACGAAAGAAAAGTTAAGGGCATTTATGTCATTTGTGGTACCCCGACTTTGGACTTTTCACGAAGGGGTCAAGGACCAAGGTCAAGTTAGATTTCACAGGTCAGGGTCATCCCCGATGGTCCAATAGGCCGTGGCGAGGAGCACGTAGAGACCACTCAAAAAAGGATGAGGCGAAAATTAGGGGCACTCACGCGGTTCCCCGACATTTGTCGCTAAATTTCGAAATCAAGATAACGTCTTAAGTCGGAATTGAAACTTGAAAATGCTTCTCGCTCTGAGGAACAGGGGTGTAATTTTATATCTCTTTGTTGAGGCAGATGCACCCACAATCCTGAATTATGCCCCAACAATGATGAAAATGCACCCACAAGTCTTTTACAGGCGTCCTTTCGAGAGCACGGCGCCCTTCGCATGCTCTAACGCCTAACGGCGTCCTGACCGACGACCGTCTCGCGTTCCTGGATACCTAATATAGCTTTTTTTAATCACTCGGCGACTTCTGCAGGCCGAATGGCGCCCTTTTGACAGGACCGCGCCATTCTCATGGTCTAACGGCGCCCTCCTGACCGTCTCGCGCCCAAAGGTCTCTCATCTCTGTCCACCGTGCGGTGCATCCCTCGACTGTTCGACGCCCTTCTGGTCTTTCAGCGCCCATGGACCACATAGCGTTTTCAATCACTCGGCGCCCTTTTAGGAGAATGGCGCCAGTTTTCATCGTCTCACGGCACCCTCGTAACCGTCTGGCGCCCCTACGTCCCCACCAACTTAGCATTACTGACTGCGCGGCGCCCTTCTGGCTTCTCAGCGCCCTTGGACCATAACACGTTTTCAATCACTCGGCGCCCTTCTAGGAGAATGGCGCCCTTTTCATGGTCTCACGACGCCCTCGTAACCGTTTGGCGCCCTTACATTGGTGACCCTCCTACTGGATGTCGCCCCTCTACATTTTTATTTTTGTTTTGACGCCCTTCCGGTCATTTTACACTTTGAACCGTATTTGCTTAGTCAGACAGTGTCACTTGAAGCGCCCTTCGGCTAGCAATGCTATCAAATTCGGTGTTAATTTATTCTCATACCTACATAAAGAATATTCATTACCTACGCCCCAAAACGGCCTGGCGCCCCTACAGCTGGGCACCCATTCCCACAATCATTTTAGGAAAATTTCACCCCTGGTGAAGCACATTTCGGTATCCTAAACTTTGTGAAAGCCATATGGTAAAGTGATCTACGAATATCGATCTGAGGCCAGTTTAACCAACAGAAAAATAACCGCCTACCGGAATGTTTTGCCTAAAGACCGTTTCACATGCGGAACGTAAGCGCGATGGGCACGTAAATAGATAGGGCATACCGTTCACGCTGGCCGTATACGGCCAGCGTGAACGGCCGTATATGCCGTATACGGCCAGCGTGAATACCGTTTCACATATATGTGAAACGGTCTTTAGGCAAAAAATTCCGCAGTCGGCTATTTTTCTGTTGACAAAACTGGACCCTGAACGTGAAAGTAAATGTGCATTCTAGATCAGCGATATTCGGGAGGAATATGAGCCTGAATGTCGAAAACTGTCATCGATATTACGAACAAAACTCACTGACCTTGGTAAGTGCAAGTCCTTTTATCCACCCTAATAACTACTATCATCAAACCATCATTTACCTACCCCCAAACCTCCGATTTTCTGTCCTTATCTGACCTGACTTATCTTAATACGACCTCTTATTTGGCAGGACTGATAGGGCATGAATCGAAGGCTCTACATGCACGTACCAGTTTCCAAAATATAAACGCTAGTGCAGTGCAACTACCTACAATATAACATATGTACCTAGTCCTGCGCCTAGCAGATTGAGCTATTCATTGCCTACATGGACCCAGGACCAGAGTACAGTTTATTTCCATGGCCTTGCAAAGTGCAAGTCCTTTTATCCCTCGCCCGTATTGGTGTTTTTTCCAGCCGCGAACGTATAAGGGGGGGGGTCCGTTGGACCCCCCCCTTGCCGTTTCGCCCCTGATCGAGCTAGAGCTTCGCGGAAAAAACGAGCGTGCTGCCCGTGACGAGAGGAAGCCGATGATACCTAATTTTAAGGTCCTAGGTCATTGGTTGACCTTGCAGGTCAGGTCAATGACCCAAAAGTCGGGAAAATCGGGACCTGTTAGAACGTCGTAAAGTGTGGCTGCTATGGGGTTTTTCGGGGCGCTGATCACGAATATCATGTTAGTTTTGATCACAGATGATGTCTTTATGCATTTAGTCCAGGTCGGGTCCGGTCAGGTCAGGTCAACCAGTAGGGGTCCTGCCGGGTATTCCTAGTAGGTGTCAACCGCCTCTGACAGCTTCGTAACATGTTACGAAGGTACAAAAACTACTTCGTAAACGTTCATATGGTTGCTAAATTCGAATTCAGCTCCAAAAACTGGCCTAGAAACATGTAAAACTCGAAAAAGTGAACCGAGGTCACCAAAGGTCAATGACCTGACCTGATCTTCAGGTGACCTTGACACCCACCCTAATGCATGGGGGCAACATCATATCACATGTTTGAACGCTTGAAACCACGAAAAGACTGCAAACGCGCGGCTAATGCGAGCCGACATACGCCGAATCGCGATTCCGGCCAAACATGGTCTCGAGAAATATGTCACAGGTCAAAGGTCATTGGGGTCAGGGTCATGAAATTTTCAGGGTAGGTGTAAAATTGATTAACGCGAGGGTACTGAAAGTTTCGTCGCGATCGGCCGCTTTTTACGCGAGTTATTCGCGAAAAACCATGGGGGGGGGGGTCCGTTCGACCCCCCCCCCCCCTATACGGGCGAGGGTTATCTGGTCCACCTGCAGGTTAGCTGTTAATGCCTGGTCGGCTGCCCAGGGCCTGACGTGGCCGGTGCTCAGTGGTCGCACCCGGTGACAGGTCACCTTAGCGCAGCTTGCAGGGGACGAGGCTGGCGCAGCTCTCCGCAGCTCTTATCGCCCCGGGCAGGGCTGTCGCGAGTCACCACACCTCCTCTTCCATATGTAGCGCGCTATAAGGCGACCTGAAACGGTCCCCGGGGACCGGACCGGGGCGGTATCGGCTCCGGATGGCCGACATCTTGGGCCACCCGGTCACCGGCAAAAGGATAAAACGGGGCGCGACGGATCGGAGCGGTCACTGGGCTCCAGGAGGATGAAGAGGACGGCGACAGCGCTGGTCAGCTGGGGTGTCAGAGTACTCGAAAGCTCTGCAGGATTCCAGTTAACCCCTGGTAGACTCTGCTGGTCTGGAATAGAGTCAAAGATAATCTTCGCAGCTGGTCAGGGTGGAAGGCGGTCGTCTTATTGAATCTAGCTCAGCACCCGGGACTCGGACAGACGTGGTATCGCAGTGACCGTCTCACGATGACCGGAACCAGGCAGCTGTACGCGTCGTTTGACCCGGCCAGGTATCACCGGGAGTACTACTCGGAGGTGGACCCCGAGGTGCAGTTCTTCCTCCAGCAGCTGCACCAGACATTCGCTGAAGGTGGGTTCGTTTACTAAGAGTGACACATTTAAATATCCCTAACGATTGACTCCGGTGGCTGATTTAAGTCTGTTAAATCACTAGTTTAAATGATTATATAATAAGCTCTACTTACCAGACACAGAAAAATAAATGAAATGTATTTCTCACTCACACTTTATGTCTCCAACTGGGATGACTGACTGGTTAGGCTGTGCCGCAGTACACTGACTGGCTAGGCTCTGCCGCTATATACGCTAGTTTGACTGCCTGCTTAGACCTATCGTTTTCTGCGGCACATGTGCCGCAGAAAACGATAGTTGAACTGTGCCGCAATACACGCTAGTTTTGACTGCCTCGTTAAACTGTGCCGCAGAAAACGATGGTTAGGCTGTGCCGCAGTACACACAAGTTTGACTGACTGGTTAGACTGCGCCGCAGTACACGCTAGTTTGACTGACTGGTTAGACTGTGCCGCAGTACAAGCTAGTTTGACTGACTGGTTAGACTGTGCCGCAGTACAAGCTAGTTTGACTGACTGGTTAGACTGTGCCGCAGTACACACAAGTTTGACTGACTGGTTAGACTGCGCCGCAGTACACGCTAGTTTGCCTGACTGGTTAGGCTGTGCTGCAGTACACACAAGTTTGACTGACTGGTTAGACTGCGCCGCATTACACGATAGTTCGACTGCATGTACAGTGTACAATTACACATTAGTTTAACTGACTGGTTAGACTGTGCCGCAGAAGACGCTAGTTTGACTGACTGGTTAGACTGTGCCGCAGTACACGCAAGCTTTACTGACTGGTTAGACCGTGCCGCAGTACACGCTAGTTTGACTGACTGGTTAGACTGTGCCGCAGTACACGATAGTTCGACTGGTTAGACTTTGCCACAGTTTCTATTTTGCACCTTGGTCCTTGAATATGTATGAAAAAAATTGTATGTACTTACATACTTGCCTTCGGGTTGACAGTTGACAGAGAGTTGGGGTTCTAAAAAAAAAACCTACCGCTACCACCTAAAATTTATTCTAATCTGAACAGCCATCTTCAAGCTTTTGAAGGACAGAACAAAACAAACATTCGGTATAACTGAGCAGTAAAAGAGAAGCATATCTTATGAGACGTATACAACACATTCGGGTGGACGCGTCTCGTATTATTTCTGTTTCTGAAAAGGGTGTTGAAAACGTCTCTCATGACGAAATGCGTCCACCCGAATACGTTGTATCTCATATTATTCGGCATAATTGCACTCAAAACCCAATAAATCCATTTACACATATAGCCTAAGTTAACAGTTTCTGCTTGCATCACAGATGCATTTAGTCCTATTTGAGCCATGCTGGTGCCTCTTACGGCAGTGAGACGACTCCCTGTCCTGCGCAGGGCTGACCGACTGCCCGGGTCGGGAAGTTCTGGACATTGGCTGTGGTCCGACCATCACCGCCGTACTATCTGCGTCCCGGTGGGCCGACACCATCACAATGGCCGACCTCGTGCCTGCCAACCGGTGAGAAATACTATCCCGGACTTGAGTGTTGTGTTAATGTACATGCCATGTGCGACATATGCATATGATGTGCTAAATGCAGTAATGTACAAAGTATAGGTAAGGTACAGCACTGAGAGTATGTCAGCTGATACGAGTTCAACTTTAATGAAGTTGGCTAATTTATACGAATATAGCGAGCTACTCAACTTATTCGTGTTCTTGGATCCGGTGGAAACCACCGTTTGGCTGTTTCTGTTTCTCAGAGAGGCGGTTATGGAGTGGCTGAAGGAGGGGGAAGATCAGCTGGACTGGAGCCCCCACCTGAAGTACGTGGCTGCCCTGGAGGGAGGTGGGGTGACTCCGTCCCAGCTTGCCGACCGGGTCCGACGTAAGGTCAGCCGAGTCCTTCCAGCAGATGTTCTGCAAGAAGAGCCGCTGGGAGCCGCCGTCCCGAACAGGCACGTGGTAATGCAGAGCGTCTGAACTAGACTGTTCCAGTTGATCGAATGCAAATCAACCTGAAAGACCTGCAATCCATGCCTCGGTTAACCATGGTGGTAACTGGAAGTAACTGGTAAGCTCCAATAGTGATCCATGACTCCATGCTTTTGCATAGGTAGCATTGCTGTTCGCCGTTGACGAAACCGAGGCAGAGACAGGCGGCACATGAAATAACTGATTATCTAGCTACATCTCTCTGTTCCAGGTTTGATGTGGTGCTAAGTAGCCTGTGTTTGGAGTTTGCCGCCACCGACTTGGCGCACTATCAGCAGGCCCTGAGAAACGTGACGACGCTTTTAAAGCCCGGAGGCTACCTCATTATGCAGGTAATCAGGTTAATATCTTATTGTAATGAGCTTGTCTGCAGTCAAAAATTGGTTTAAGAAGCATATTAGGTCGGAAAATACTCTATAAACTTCATAAGGATATCAACATTTACAGGGAACCAGCTTGGCATAACGTCGACGGTCGAGCCAGGTGCGTTAGGACCTGTAAGAATACGAGAAAAAACTCGAGATGCCCACGACTCTTGCATGACTAAAATGCGACATCCGTGTTTCTCGTTTCTTGTCAACAAAGCGTACAATGATGAGGAAGAGAGAGAGAGAGAGAGAGAGAGAGAGAGAGAGAGAGAGAGAGAGAGAGAGAGAGAGAGAGAGGAGAGAGAGAGAGAGAGAGAGAGAGAGAGAGAGAGAGAGAGAGAGAGAGAGAGAGAGAGAGAGAGAGAGAGAGAGAGAGAGAGAGAGAGAGAGAGAGAGAGAGAGAGAGAGAGAGAGAGAGAGAGAATAGAGAGGAATGCCAATACGAGTGTCTCGTACTACCTACCATCGAACATTAAAAATGCTTCCGTTATGAAGTGTTCGCTGAATACGTCCAATACCAAACATTTTCACTGTCCCTCAGAGCCTCGGTTATAAATTCTAGAACATTAAGATTATTATTTTCAGCTAGCCCGAGTGACACTTTATAATTGGCCGGCAGGGCGCGCTAGGAAACTCATTCTACCTGGTAGAGGAGGCGCGGTTTCCGTCCGTGTCGCTCACTCACTCGATGATCAGCGAGTCGCTCTGTTCTACCGGCCTCTCCGAAGAACGGTGGCACCAGATCCCACGTCAGTGTCCTCTGGACAAGATGGCGGACCACACTGGCTGCTTCTTTGTGGTAGCCCGGAAGAAGAAATAAATGGATGGCAGTGGCACGGCTGTCCTCTGTTTGAGGAGGAGTGGTGAGTGCGGGTGGGGGAGGGAGGCAGCCGTTCTCCCGCTGTCATCGGGACCTGAAGATGTGTTATGACACTTAATTCAGTATCTTCTCTGATAATCGATACATGCATCTATTGCCTACAATCAGATGCATTTGTCAGCCTTTTGTGGTAGGTATCTGTTTCCTCTTTTTGCTGATAGCCTGATGTTATGCCTCATCCATGTTTCAATTGTTTCAGGTATGTCCCATTATGTTTCAGGACTAGCCTTTAGCTAATGACAATGGACTGTAAAGGATCTGGAAGAGTGTGGTCATACGCTCCCTCCCATGCACTGGTCTCCCTGTTCGCCGGCGGCAAATCTTTTCTGAGCGTTGATCGTGCAGTCGTAAACGTAAAAATAGACCCAAACCCTACTCTAGACTTAGGATACCGCAACTATCCCGCAAAGTTATCTAGTAGTTATTGTGCCTAAATATTAAAGCGTTAGCGAATAAAAACAGGACAAGGAAGTCTAGATGAAACAGAACTTTTCTGTCCGGAAGCGACCAGAGCTTCTACCTTCCAAGTTCCCCGCCTGCCACTTCAACGCCTTCCTTGATAAGACATCTAGCGAAAACGTGGCTGCACGGTCCTAGTATCGAGTCGTTTCCAGCTTAGGCACACCTGTCTCCCTTCTCAGTACCGTGGAAATTAGCCACATCTCTAATTAGCACACTTAGCTGCACTCTGGATCACTGGACCATGGATATTAGTGGCGCAAAATGTCGCCGGCACGGCCACCGCCATGTCAGACGCTTTATTGATCGAGCTTCCAAGTTTTCGGTACAAAACTCTCCGAGTGAGACGAATATTTCGTGGTATCTGATACTGTTCACGGTATAATAAACACATCGACGCTTATATTTACCGTTCGTCGTTAGTCGAATCTTGTCACGGTGACATGTGCAAATGCCCTCATTATTTGTGGCCTACAATAAATAAACGAAAAGAATAATTAGGTGCGTTTCTATGTGGAGCCTCGGCATCAGTCAACATGCGCCGAATGGAGTTGCGATTTATATGGCGCTATGCGGGAATGGAAAGTTGTCCGTTAAGGCGATGACTTTATATGAGATGACGATTAACTATTCCATATAAAACAGAGATCGTTTCCCAACGTAAATGACTTGCTAACTTTGAAGTTGGCAATTACTAAAAGCCATTAATCAAACTTTTGAGTGATATTGATTATTTTCAGATTCAGATGAAAAGAAATCTAACATCGAATGAACAATCAACCATACTATCTAGGGTGATGGCCCAAGCAGTTTTCTTCAAAAAGGATGCCGTTTCAACGATTTGCTCGTTGGTTTTTATTGCAAATTAGGTTCTATTGAAATGCGACATTTTCGATAATTAAAATCGAAAGTCTTTTCCTGGTTATTCTCAGCAGTGAACTGCGTTATATGTAGGAGCCCTAGCTATAAGCACGAAACCAAATTCCAATAGTTGCGTCACTTTATCTCCGAATAGTCCAATCACTATGACACTGTATCCCCGAACGAGCTGCAGAGCTCTGTTCTCTGCGCACGATTGACGTGCTGGCACGCAGACATGACGTCCAATGCGGGCATCGTCAGCAGCTGACATAAATCGGTGTCCCAGGGGCGCGGTGGTGCGTCCGCCCGTACGCCGTCGGCGGCCCTGTCGGTGTCGGCTGCAGAATGGCCCGCCCAGACCCGTCCGGCCAGGTACGTATCCGCTGTGGCGCATTGTGCGCACGGTGGGACACAATTACTCGCTGCTCAGTGGAGGTGACAGCGTGGGCCACCGGCGCTGCGCATTGGTGAAAGTACTGTGACGAGAAAGGCCCTGTCTTTCCTCAGGGAGTTCCCAGTTGTTCCTGAGGGATTTAATAATTTCGGAAAAATTTTTATCAACAGCCTGAAGCTGAATTTGACACTGAAGCTGACACTTTGGCTGAATAGCGTGTCTTATGTGCATGACCAGAGCAATCGAATGGAGCGAATTTGCACAGATTCAACACATTATTTTAGCCTAAGCTTGAAGGCTCCAAAGCTTTTATGAATGACTTACATTTTCATCTCAGTTTAAAGCTCCAACAGGATCTGCATGTCCCAGTCTGCTGAAATAATGAACCATCTAAATTAGACATTTACATAACGTCATATTTGAATAAAGTATCATCTGATCTTTTAGTTCATGGCTATGTGTTTAATGTTTATGTTAAACGTTGTTTTGCCAACAAACTGTTTAATGGCTGTCAACAGGTTACGGTAGGTACTGGCCTGTTTTCTCTCAGTATGAGGGCGTCAATTCACTAGGCCCGAGGCTTGCCATATAGTCGTTTCGGGGTTCGCCACGTAAATTGAGAACACTGGCAAATTGAGCAACAGCTGGCTTCATTATTTCGTATAGCTAGGTATTTATGCACCAAGCATAAAAAGTAGGACAGTAATATAGCAATACGCTGTAACGCAACCAGTTCTGCAGTACAGGTTAGCATCGTTTACTTCGCACCTTCGAACGCTGGCCATGGAGCTGTGACAGACTTTTCTTCCGGTCCGTGAGCCTCCTGGCCCTGACCGGCGATACCCTGCGGACCGCCGAGCTGTTTAAAGCGACGACGGTCGAGGACCGCCCTGAGACCGCCCTGAGACCACCCGGAGACCGTCCGGAGACCGCTCTGAGACCACCCGAAGACCGTCCGGAGACCGCTCTGAGACCATCCTGAGACCGTCTGGGTCCTCCCGTGCAGACTGACAGATGAGCTGCCGTCGAGCCCCTCACAGCTCACAAATGGGCGTCCGCAGCCCGGGCTTTGAACTGATGGCGCCACCGCGGTGACCCGACGGGCGGCCGCCGACGGCCGGGATCGTAAGTTACACTGACGTCTGACGTCAAGGCTTGCGTCGCTAAGTGCCGTTCGTCAGAGTTGTGGGGTTAGCAACCTGATTTGGGTGGAATGTGACGCAGTTACCCGATAACAATTACCAAAATCAAAGACTGAAAGGAAGGCAGTCATCAACTACAGCACGTATGTACATACAGGAGTAATTATAAGTGCGCATTTCAAACGCATTTTGTGCTAAGGATTCGTCTCAAATCTGCTGGTAATGCGCATTTACATTCACCATGTAACCGCGGTCAGTGAAACCACATTACCTAATAAGCAACAGGCGATTGATATAACGCACTATGCCGTTTGGAATGATGTACACAGCCTGTATGTTGCACAGCCTAGCTCACAGCCAGTCTCCCACAGCAGCAGTTTTGTCTCTTAGACCAATGTCCACTGTCCAGTGGTGTGTCTTGAGCCGTGCCTATATTTAACTAAGATAAAAACAGCTTATGTGTTCTGATATTTGTACATACTCATCAAAGTTATTTCGCACGCCGACTGCATGATGCTACCACCAGACGATGCTGTTGGAATTTGAGTTAAAGTATCTAATGATAGTCCCAATGAAAAGAGGAAAGAGGAAGATTTTCACTGCCAAACTGCTGTAATCTTCATGGCGAGCTGATCCAAGATAACATGACTGACCGGAAGCTGTAGACTCGTGGCGCTGACGTATGCCTAATCTGATCAGGGGTACGGCTGCTGACCGGCTACCGAGCACCCGCCCTCTGAGATTATCCGGATTATCGGCCAGGTGGGCCGGTATCGTGCCGGTGATCCTAAAACGCGCGGCGGACGACACGCAAACAGACCCAGAATAAATATATATGCAGCCCGTCTGAAGTCTCTGAAGTGGCTGTCAAGACCTCGCGCTCACCGAAAACGCCCTCTTAGCTTGGCGGGTGGTCCAGCTGGCTAAGCCAATGGGCGCTGGCTACACTGAAAACAAATCTACTCATGAGGGGAGAGTAATTCATATTTGACTCGCCATTCATGAGTATATTTGGATGAGTAACTCATGCGTGGAGCGTTAACACTCAAGAGTAAAAGTTTACTCGTTTTGAAAACTCAATTGCCCAAATGCATGACCTTCTCCCTATGAGTTGCCTGACTCATGACGCACAAAACATTGGTATCAAAACTCCCTGTTGAGTCTCGCAAACTCATGTAAGGCGAGTAAGGAATGTACTCACGACCCGTGAGTTAGTGAAACTGAACGTTTGGGTTTAAGAACTCATGAAAAAGAGGACAGGGATTCTTGCTAACTCATTGTTCGTGAGTAATGAGTTCAAAAACCAGTTTGAAATCATTAACTCTTCAAACGCAGCTTAAGGAAACCAATGATGCGCCGGTAAATATGATCAACCGTGAATTATCCATGAGCTGCTTTACACAAGCCTTACGCGTTAATATTACCGCCATGACGCCATCTTGCATGTTTGTGCCGCGGAAGTGCAGCACGGGACGCGGCGGACGCAGTGAATTGGAGGCTGGAGCGACTGGTGAGTGTTAAATGTTACGTATTTTATTGCCTGTAGGTATGTTTAAGTGCAAAATGCATATTTTCATTGAAAATGTACCTACATGTGCACTCACACAACACTACTGATACCTTGGGTTGTCCTGTGGGTTGGTTGACCCTCCTAGTTATGTATTGTCTATAACATGAAAGCCTTTTTGAGGGGTTCATGATATCCATCAAAATGTGGAATATCATATCAGTCATGCTCAACATGCCCCAACAGTGAAACCTAACCTGTTATTCTACGGGCAGCTTTGCCAGCGTGAAGCCTAACAGAATAATTAAACATCAAGTATTTTCTTTAAGCCTTTGCCTATAGCATCTATTTCTGCCAGCCCCTAATGCTCAAACCCTGGTGCAAACATCTATAGGTTAGGATAGGTGGTATACCTATGTGCAAATGAAGTTCGAGTGGTAGGCATGTGGAAGGTTGTATGTTGTAAGATGTAGGCTAGTAGATTGTAGGTACCTATTTAGGTTGTAAGGTCTAGTTAGTAGGTTATAAGGTAAGGCTAGGTCAGCTTTTCATCATGTTTTCATCTTCCTCGTAGTTCATCTAGTATTTTTGTAATAAACGACTTGTAATTGAATCATTTGGCCGAATCCTTCTAAAAATGAGCACCCTAAGTGCTTCTTCTAAAAGCCCACCCCTGCACCCCCCAAGAGTGAGATCTAGATACCAGGCATGGTCGAATTGATTCTATCATGATGTTCTCATCTCCTCAGCTGGACGGTGCCATGGAGGCCACTTTCTCAGAAAGGCGACACCCCATCGTCAAGAGGAAAATCCCGATGGCCACCATCCGTCGTCGATGAAAACAAAGTATGTACATTGTCATAGATAACATGAATCATTGTACATGGTCTGATGCGTTGTAAATTAGCGATCCTATGCAGTCAGAGTCAGGTGGTTTGGTGCGTGCAACTGCAGACGCGCCTTCACCGGCTCTCAGAGTCAGTTTTCTTTCTGAAGCTCATCTTGAGTTATTTTGCACCCGCCCTCATGTGTATTTTGTTTCCCTTGCCTTTGTTACCGACAGACTAGGGCCAATATCCGAAAATGATTCGATCCACAGGATCCAAGAGCGCAGTTCTTCTATCTGATTATAAATTCATCAATACTTTTTGGAGACCCTGCTGGTCCTTGATCCAACATGTTTCTTTTGTCGATGAATACCGGCGATCTTGAATCTTACATTTTTGCTCTGTGGATTGATTCTGGGGATCTTGTATCCTAGGCATTTAGTCTCTGAGAACACATTTTTCTTGCTAAATTTCAAAATGCTTTGCATTAGCGAGGCGTACAAGGTTGTTTAAGAAGTCTTTGTGCACAACCTGCTTCGCTGGCCCTAAAGTTCAAACTTAACGCTTAATTTTATGTCTACAGACATGACATTTACGTTGGATCCAGGAAATTTGAACTCTGGCATTTCGTTCTCGCGTGGGGTCCGGAATCCTAAAGTGTTATTTATACGTGCGATCCAGGGGATCTTGGATCCTAAAATTATATTATATTTTTCAATGAGATCAAGGAGATCCAGTATTCTGAAATCCTGACATTGCATGGGATCTTGCGGATCTTGGATCTTGATTTTTGGCTGAGGCACAAGTCTGTACTTATACCGACAATGCATGCATAACCCCAGGGTCATGTCCGCCGCACGGTAGGGATTGCGAGGCAGCGAGAGTTACTAATGCTACTGTAAAACAGATGTGCTTGTGTGACATCGCATTTGCATGACCACCGATAACGGAACTGGATTGGCAGTTAATTTTCAGACGCTGCAGTAAGAAGTAGAAGAATTTAAGCCGGCCATGCGAATATCGATGGCGTCTTACTGGTATAGTCGTCCTTCAGCATGCGTCATTAATCCTTTGTTTTCAGGTCTGGAAAGAGCTGAGTCGGATAAAAAATGCCGACTTGCAGGACACCAACGAGTTGGAACTCTCCCGGGAAGCCATGACCCCGATTGTGGCCAATGGCGAAGGTGAAAGAGCTGCTGGATGCCTCACAGATGGTAAGTTAACAACATTTTACCCGGGAATGTTGGAACCGTAACCGAATAGGTACCAAAAGCTCATGTATTTATGAACGTCCTGTTAACAGTTTGATATACTCGTATACACTTACACGGAAAGTATTTAAAAAAAGAGCAGAAAAATGTGAAATTTCATTCGTGCTTCTTATAAGAGATCATAGAAGTTCATCGTTATATCCACTGTAGTAAACTACAGTGGATACTCAATACCTATAGGCCTTGAGTATGATTAACACATTTTTATCGTCAATTTCAAAGTAATATATGCGAGCACTATTTACTCTAAACATATTTTAATGTTATGCTCACAAGCATCTTCTAACCCGCACCCCGCGGGAGTTCCTGGATTTCCAGGCCCTGCTGGGGGGGGGGGGGAGGAAACGTTTGAACCCCCTTTTAACTTAGCTCCTGGGCCATGTAGCGATACGGCGAAGGCGGCGTTCGAAAGGACGTCAAAAATAAGGAAGAAATTATTTCGGTCACTTTTTTGGTCAGATCAAAGGTCAGGTCACCAGAGGTCATTGAATGCAAAAGTTCACCGATTTCCAGGTTAAATTTTGATAATTTTCAATTTTTGACAACATTCAAATTTTGATCAGATCAACGCATAGCTCGGAAACTAATAGAGCTACAAAACCACAGAAAAGCGCCTTTGATAGCCCATTAACGCTCTTTCTGATTAATTCTCTCAGATTTGACCTGCGTCAGTGGTTTTGCATGCGGGGAAGGGGTAAAAACTGCCAAAATAGATATATTTTTTCTGAAAGTTTTTCAGCAAAAACTTTTGACTTAAGCCTTTCACGTACTTTCTTTTACCGGAATCGTGTTTCTCTCGGCAAGACGCATTGAATAAACTATTATGTGACCTTGAAAGGTGAACTTAAAAATTTGACCTCAGTTCAAGGTCATGACCTGACCGATAAGGGTCAGGTTGCATATCAGTTGATCCGTTCGTCGAGATGAACACAACGAAGGTGTTTTCATCGTTCTATGCCTCTATCAAAAGTTCTTCGCGAAAAACTGTCGCAGATACCATTCGTGACCTGAGATGTCATCAGGGGCATAAAACGGGGTCACGGGTGCCATTTTCATGGCACCCGTGTGGTTGCACTAATTGCTTATATGCCTGCTTTACCATATTATCAGAGAGTATCATCGATGAAAACACTGAAATAAATTCATAAAATACAGATATTTGCTGTAAAAGAGATTAGGTGCAGATTTGGTCAAATTAGGTGCACTCGCCGGGTAGCCCGTCGCGAAAACGGCTAATATGACTTACGGCCAATATGACTTACGTCCAAAAGAGGCGCCTTTCGATTATCTCCAATTTACTTACCTTTAACTGAGAGATCGCAAAATTCACCTGACCTTAGGCCATCGACATCAAAATGCTAAGATATACATTTTGTACAAACTGTTGCTCTTATCAATCGCTGCAAGTTTCAAAGCAATCGGTCACTAGGGTGTAGCTATGGTAGGCTTTATAACTTTTTAAGTAGCGAGGTCACTTGGCTTGACCTGGCGACCTGACTTTAGGTGACCCGGAGCGCCGCCGTTTTTTTTTTTTAGATATTCGCGAAAATCCACAGAAGGTGTGTTCAAAAACCCTCCCCCTCCCCCAGCAAGACGTGGGTTAAAATTGCGAGAGGCATACTGTACCAAATTAAAGTTTGCAGTTCGTGGCTTTGATTTCTGAAGGTAAATTTTTCCGTCGCAGACGATGCGATCGACCATCTTCTCTGCACCGTGCTAAAGAGCACCAAGTTGTGTTCACATCGGCGCCGCAGCCACGGCCTCATGTGGCGGACGACTTCCACGCCATAGAGGGCGTGCCAGCAGTGCAGTTTAAGGAGCTAAAGGCAAAGGTGAACAAGCTGCTGACGTGGGGAGCCGCGTTCACAGTGTTTGCGCAGTCGTTCAACCGCCCAGCCATCCGTCTGGCCGACTACCTGATGTGTGCCGTGATCCTGAAGACCGATGTGTCGCCGCCCCCAAAGCAGTGGGCGGCGATGACAGGCTGCGTTTAGGAGTGCACGGGGAGGGACATGAGGCAGCACTTTAGGGACTTTCCGTCTCTTTTTGTGTTTGTGTTTCTGCCGGGTAGTTTTGCAAAGAAATGGCGTTAACGCTTTTTCATGCGTGTAGGCCAAGTTCATGTCTGGAAGGGCATGAGCGTCGTGCTGTGTTCATCACCCTTGTTCATATGATCAATGATGTAATAGTCGTGGTTTATCTGCATGCTATGCATTGTTTTAATAAACCTTATGTTTTAATGTTATGACTCTCATCTCATGGGTGAGGCTGACCGCCAGGGGATGAGTCGACAGAGTGGAAAAACCGGCGGCAGAGCGATCTAATAGGTGTGTTCACTTGACCATCATGTTATGAGTTACATTTAACTCGCGTATCAATCGTTGCATGGCATGAGTTACTAGCAATGCTTGAATTCGTCACAAACGGTAAACTCATGTGGTATGAGTGAGGGAACGAGAGTTAACCCGCAACCCATTGGTGATGTGACCGCTACAGGGCTAGTAACATTTACTAGCGCCTCATGTAGTCAAACGTGTGGTGTCTTCATTAACGGTGTAATATGAGTAAGCCTATACTCGCATATCATGAGTAATCAAAATGAGTTACCAAGAGTACATGAGTTTTTCACAATCGGTTAACTCATAATACACGAGTGAAGAGACATGAGTTAACGCACAATTGAGAGGTGGAATGACCGGTGCAGGCCTAGTTACATTACCGGCGCCTCGAGCAGTCAAATAGGTTGTTTAAAATTACCGCCGGTTCATGAGTTTACTCATCACCCATGGGTAATTTTGTTTTCAGTGTACAACACGCAACTTGCATGTAGCTGCAGCGGAAGGAGTCAGTTGCACGGCTTTGCCCTTTTTTCTGACACGTTGAGTGCTGACCGCTGGAGCGCAAAGCTGAGCCAAACTCGACAGTGATAAACGGTTTTCGAAAATATTAAGGTATTTTGTTGACAATACATTGACGCTTAATGATATTAACACACATTTTAGATTGCCTTTCCCTTCTCGTCGCCATATGAAGAATATCGGCCAACAATTTCATCCCGCGATGACACATGACAAACGGAGACTGAGCAACTGGTACTTAGATAGATGTTTCTCTTTCTCTCTCCATCATCTCACCCGTTTTAGCTACCTCTTGTTTCTCCTCCATTCTCCTTGTGTCTCCCTCTCGTCCCTCTGGGTTCTCCTTTCCGTATCGTCGACACCGCCAGGGTCGGACACAGGGTCGGACATTTCCCCGGTGGCTCACTACAGAGCGGAGGATCTGGCCTCTGCTGACTCTCCCCTGACTCCCCGGAGAGGTGATTAGGTTCCTGACACGCATCTACCGCCCTCGCCGCACCCGTGAGGCGTCTGTCGCGTCAGGTGTGACCTGCGGCGGCGGCCGAGGAAGGACACCGCACCAGGCAAAAGGTGAATGCCGTGAATGCGCATTCACGGCATTTGGTAACATTCAGAACTACACAGAAAAATATTAACACCGTTAGCGGTGTAATTGCACAGTACATATCTGAGCACTTGAGGAAAGTTAATTTAGTCCCTTCCCCACTTAAATTACTCGCGCTTCCAAATGAACACCAGGAAGAAGGTAATAGAACACTGTTAGGAGGGTTGGGTGTTTTGCTACATGTAGTAAAACACCCAACCCTCCTAACAGTGTTCTATTACCTTCTTCCTGGTGTTCATTTGGAAGCGCGAGTAATTTAAGCGGGGAAGGGACTAAATTAACTTTCCTCAAGTGCTCAGATATGTACTGTGCAATTACACCGCTAACGGTGTCAATATTTTTCTGTGTGTACAAACAAGTAATCCACCTACTCATGAGTATGAAGTTATAATTTTGAAAACTTGAGCTAGCTATGCCTAATCATCGAATGATTTCTTTTTTACCGTTTCACTTTAGCGGCAATTTTAAAAGGTCATTGACTTAATTATACGTGCTTCATAACTCTATACCCTGTTTTCAGACCATCATCGACACCATTTTCCGGGCAGCACAGGTGCAAACACGAACGTTTGCGTTGTATATAAGGGGGAAGTTTTCCTTCAATAAAAATTAAGAATGTGTTACGAACGGAAACGCATGCTGCTTCTTTTCGTCCATGAACCTTTGCCTGAATAGACATTGCTCCGCTGTGCGTTCTGCTCGATGATGAGCATGATAGCGCTATCGACCATTTTTATCCGTGTTTTTGGTGCTGCTGTTGCGTTGTTGTTGTTATTGTTGTTCTGTACACGTGCCTATACCGTAACACGTGGAGCATTTTCGTGTCGTTCTGGTCTGCACGAGATCTCGCTTCCGTGCGGGGCGGTTATTTTCTTCTCGTCAGTGTTTATCTCGCGTGACGAGCTCGACCAGCGGGCTGCACGGAAGCGTCTATATCGCCCTGGATGCTGGCGAGGTCACCAACGATCCCAGATCGTAGCCGAACGGGGAGCAGGGGTTCCTGCAGGTCATCCAGGGTTCGTTTCTGTCTAGAATGGAACCCACAGGAGACCGAAGTGGCACGAATGGCACACGCGCACCACTTATTGCGACACATATTTTTAGAAACTTTCGTGATAACTAACGATGATAGCTACCTTGTTCGTGCAGCCTGCGTGACTGAGGCTGAGATATATGTAAATCGGCCACTCCTATGGCTACTTTTACTGTTTTTGTAAATGTTTGGAGCTCAGTTTGCCTTCAGTCATATAGCTTCAGTGCAATCCGACACGATTCGACTCGTCTGAACTCATGAATGATTGACATCTACTGTTAACGCCAGACCCCTTGAGACCCTAATTTTTCGCGATTACTTTTAAATGCGTGAAGGAATTTCAACCAAGCTCAGGACATGGCCGTTTCAAGACAGGCCGAAACTTTTACAATTTAGATATTTTATCGCCATTTCAATATTTCAGGCACTTGTCATTGACTCGTAATGTTAAATTTCGAGCAAGATTTTCATCCGGTGTGTAGAGGCTATCACCAGTCAGTCTGTGATACGTTATGACGTCACAGCTAAGCCCCGCCTCTGTGGTCTTGGCCTGCGGCGGTTTCGGGCCGGCGCGCGGTCACTCTCGCTGTGGCGGGGAGCGGGGACGGGCGACGGTCGAGCGGTGCCGAAAGCCGGCGGAGTTGTGCGTAGCGTCTTGGCTGACAGTGCCCAGAGAGCGACATGATGACTAAGGAGTCATAAATGCTCATTGCGCATTGCTTCTACAATGCGCATTGAGCATCCACCACTCAATGCGCATCCACCACTCATGTTCGCTGATATATTTTTTTTATAAGCTGCAAATGACGGGCAGATGGCATATAACTGACATAAGGTTAGGAAATATTCACCTGTATTTAAAGCCTATGGCGTTGCAGATAATGCGATAATGGGATGTCGGATGTCACCAAGTAGCTGCCGATTTGTACATCGCTATGCAACCATCGAACAACGCAATAATAAGTTAATTGCCTGAGCTTCACATCATACGGCTCGCTCGTATTTCAAACAGATACCCTACATCGAAAATCGTATTTGTTAGGAATCGTTAACGTTTGTTCGAAGCACGTGTCGGGCCGCGGCCGGCCGGCCGCGGACCATTTTCAGAAGTGGCGGGCAGACCGTGCGTCGAGTGCTTGCTTACTCGCGCAGCGGTACTGGGGTTCACAATCATTGTTTAAAAGTTTGTCATTTGCCATGAACTTTAAATAATACATTGTAATTAACGGTCATTTGTCAATTATTACGAGTTCTTCAAAATTCTTCTATGAAAGAAAACGATTTCATTTCACTCAAGAATTGTTTTGTCCACCACTACAACCGCCAGCCAGCCGCCATCCACTGGAAGAGATAGGCTCTGCGGCACAAAGTGTCGCTTTAAACTGGACTGGGAACCAATGTGTGATGACACTTCAAGCTAAATTTATGCTCATTATGTACCTATAAGTATTGGGAACAACGCTCTGACTGTACATTTTTAGATTTTTGCCTCTAAATGCAAATATTTACAATCAAGTACTTTGCGAGCGCAGTTTAGAAGCTCCGGTAATGTTAAAGTCCTATCTCCGACAAGTATGTAAATACTGCTCTAGGGAACCAACAGTTCGCATCGTACTAGCTTTAAATTATATCCATATTGTTCCCAGTACTTTCCTGAACACCGTGGTGAGTGTACATTTTTAGTTTTTTGCTTTACAAGCGTAAAATTCGTCTGGTTTTACACCGCTTCATTCGCCTCCATAGCCCCGTAACGGCGCCGCGCGGCCCGGCCGGCCGGCGCCCGCTGTAGTTTCAAGCACTGCCCGATAGATGGCAGGCGCAGAAGTGGTCCGGGCCGTCCCGGTACGACGACTGAGTAGTAGGTTGAGGAGTGATGGTCCTCTTGGTCCTATATACAAGAGTCAACAAGAGCCTAACATTTACTTGACCGTCTGCTGTAGAGTTGCCAAGTTTTGCCAGTGGGCTGCTACCGGCACCGCCCCGCCCTACGAAAATTTTCTGGGATACCGGCATGCTACCACGCCCCAAGCAAAAAAAAACCGCCAAATTACCGGCATACTAAAAACCTGCATTCTTGATTCTGGCTTACCCCTACATGAGATGCCACATTTTGGCAATTTCAGTAACCGCCCCACCCAGCAGCCACCCATTGTCCAACCAAAACTACCAGCAGCATGATTTTGGCTGTTGGCCCCACAAATACCACAATTTTGAAACTCAATTCCAGTCTACAGCTGTTAAAATATCACCTGTACCTAATCAAAGAGGTATTGCCTACAAAAAAGCATTAACACATTCATCAAAAAAGCAAGGACAAAAAGAACTTGCATTAGGCACAGAAATGTGTTTCTGAAGACTGCACAGTGAGCAGCAATCACATTTACCACAACCGTTCTTATTTTCCACATTCTCCTAAAATGTTACTGGTACCAACCAAATAATGAACTATAGATAGTCACAAATCACAATATAAAAAACTACAGATTCGGCCATGTTGAAATACCGGCATGCTACCGGCAACACATGCCAGCTACCACGAAAAAACCTGCGGTAGTGAAAAATTACCGGCATGCCGGTAGTGCGGTAGGGAAACTTTGCAACTCTAGTCTGCTGCAATTGACTCATAGCACGTGAAGCGTCAGCGAAATTCATAGTCCTTCACAGATGGCAGGGGTGTCGTTTGTACAGAGGTCGCTGATGGGCACGGGTCAATGCCGCAGTCGTGGGCGGAGCCTAATGTCATATGACGTAGAAAGCCTCTATCCAGGATGGAAAAACAGTTAACATTACGAGTCAATGACAAGTGCCTGAAATATTGAAATGGCGATAAAATATCTAAATTGTAAAAGTTTCGGCCTGTCTTGAAACGGCCATGTCCTGAGCTTGGTTGAAATTCCTTCACGCATTTAAAAGTAATCGCGAAAAAATAGGGTCTCAAGGGGTCTGGCGTTAACAGTAGATCAACCTTAGAAGCCGCACGTGAAAAGAACTTCGACAAAGAATAAACATGGAACAGGTCTACGCTACATTTATAATCAGATCACCAGGCATTTACACTACTTCTATATCCGTCTTATTCCGCTTTAAATGAGATTAAATGGGGTTTCATGTTGATCTGACGTCATTTCAATGATAATGGCTCAAGCAGCTTTTGAATATTGGCTAACCGGGTCGCTTACACTAACCAAACTACCACCCTTCATGAAAGGCACGGATTAACACCAACGACACGATTAAACACAATATTTCAGCGTAAGCGTGAGCACAAATCTGAAGAATGGTCGAGCTACAAGCCTACTACTGACGTCATAAAGCCATTTTATGTGCTCTTTGGTCACGCATCTGGAGCTCAGACTCTACTAAACAGCTTTTGACGCTGAGCCGAGATGATAATTAGCTTTGCTTTAAGGGAAGAAGAGTGACAAATAAATTGAATGCTGGTCTGAAAGGTCTGCAACTGAAAGGTGTCTGACTCAAAGGTCGGTCGACGGTCACCATCAGACATGTGCATGAATCCGAGTGATGAATATATGATCTCTGTGGATCTCGAAGAAAACTGCAAATTAGGATCTTATAATCCCATCGGACCCCACGTGAAAATATATCCTCGATCTATGATCTTATATTAGATCTGACGATAGCCAAGAACATGGATCTATGATTTGAGTGGATACCACGATACAAAACATTTGAAACTGCATGTGTCCAAGGGTTTCTATGCCAATATTTGCTACAAAACTATGAGCTATGACGTGCAATCACATACTACTTCTAAAACAGAACTTTTGTGAGCTGCAGCAAGTAAATCTTTAGAGTCCCTGTGTTGAAAAAATTAAGTGGGGATCTTTGATTTCTCTTGATCTCAAGTACAAAATGAGACTCGGATCTATTATCACAATGTATCCATCGATAAATTCAAGAGCTTGATCTATGATCCCATCAGATCCGAGATCAGAATCCGTGAGATCAGCGCCCAGATCCATTTTCTCGGATCCATGCACGAGTCTGGTCACAAGGTAAAGTTATGTGAGCTTACCCTCGCACTTACAGGGGGCCGGAATTTGGATGGCCCCAGTCGAACAATTCGCTTGAAAAGAAAAAGATGCAGATGTCAACTATTGTTTCGGTACTCTTGATTTAATGAATTTTACATCATCCCTAAACATTTCATGACCCTGACTATCAAATACAGTTATTATTTGATTCATATTTCACCGATTAGCTATTCATGTTCCTACACTTATCCTAAAGTAACTACTAACTTCAAATGTACCCATCATGTTTCAGTGATACCAATATCCAGTCTCAGACGTCTCGTTTCGTTTTTCTTTTGTCTCGTTTGACGTTTCAGAACCCGGGCTGTAGCCGGCCTCATCATTCGACAGTTCCCGATATCAAGATCGAATCTCACAATCGTCCGTCTCACATCGAACGCAGAGCTCCAGTCGATGAGCAAAACAGCTCAGATGACAATGGAATATATTCTCTTCTTTACACATCCACACAGTCGACAGCAATGCTAGGGTTCCATCAAGAGGAGCTGGGAAGAGTCCCGACTACCTTGAGATATTCTCCGTCGTCACTAGCCAGCCTCTGACCGTAACACAATGCACACACACACACACACACATCTCTCTCTCTCCCTCCCTCTCTCTCTCTCTCTCTCTCTCTCTCTCTCTCTCTCTCTCTCTCTCTCTCTCTCTCTCGCCCATAATCGACGGACCCAAACATCAATGGACAGTGCACTAACTTCCACCACACACTGTTGACCTGGGGTCCGGAGCTCGTGTCGACGGGGAAACAGAACGATAGCGTCAGATTCGGTGTTATAGTGGCTGTGGCCTCCTCCTAGGCTCCACTGTGCAAGGTTCATGCGCTGCACTGTTGCCACCATCAGACCACGTCAGTTCATGACATATGATAGGTATGTCATGTTACGCATGGAATGTAATTATATGGTAAGACATGAGACATGACATGTAACGTCTGCCATGACATGGTGTTTTGGGACATTTTATATCTTCTCTAAGAATCTGCAGTCTGCACGTTCGGACGATGACACCGAGAATCAGCCTCTGTCGGTGTCAGTCATCTCTGCCTGTGTCAGTGTCAGACGTGTCAATACAAGTGACCTGTGAGCTGTCGAGCTAGTGGAGCCCACCAGCCTCTGTTGGGGTCAACTGTCCCAGTTGGGCTACGCTGTATGGTGCCAGCCTCTGAATCTGGGTAAACTGTAGGAGTTTCGCACATACTCGTATGCATGATTTCATCGTGAAAAAAGACTGCATAGGGTCTCTTGATGACTTTTTTCTGCTTTACCTGACTGTCAACTTGTTTGAGTCGGAGCGGAACAGAATCTCTGAAAATGTTTTTGCATGCCGCCTGCATGAATCCATCTTTTTTGGTGAGTGGAAGATGTAGTAAGAAGTTGCTGTGTACACTTCTCATCCTACATAGAACTGTCTGAGACGCATATACCTACATCCCGGATGCGTCATTTTGCCTGACGCCCTGTAGGCAGATGCTCCGAAGTTCGTTTCCGGCATATGTTTGTGTTTCAAGCATCAGAGTTAGCATGCTAACGTTACACGACATTCCATGGGAAATTGTTCCAAGCTAATTCAACTTAGACGCGATTAACTACCCCAGTGCCTGCGTGCTGGACTGGAGCCCCGCGCAACAACCGCTTATCAAATGAAAATCAACGTATATTTTACAGCCAACACCTATCAAAGCGTACTGCTGAACGGTTGAGTGAGGCGAGAAATACTTTCTAAAGAAGCTCCAGCCTCGAGCGATCAAACCTCGCCGCAACTTGGTGCCGAAGTTGGCACGTCTTTCGAGCGAAGACGGACATCCTGGTCGGCACAGGGTTGCCCCCGAACAGAGCCAGTTAAACTCTTAATGTTTCATGCCAGCCTCAGATGTTTCATGTGTCACGGTGAAACATCTGCATTATTTATATTTGGTACGAGCTGATCTTCAATCGTCAGAAAAATTGTTTGGATGGTGGGAACCTGATGCATTGCTGAGCCCAATAACCGTACACCTTTTGTCCATGACATGTGACTCATAAAATGGCAAAATGCATTACAACGTGTGCTATTTAAACACAGATAATCAATTAATCATTACTAGGTACATAACGTGCTACACATGCTAAACTGCGAAGAAATTAACAACAAATATATGTCTAGTGTACAGCATTGTTCTCCTATGACTATGGTAACTTTGGGCGCCCTGTTGCGATCATGTCTTAAACTGGACTATATCACATCGAGCAAACGAAGCACCTCATATGACCACGGTAAACATATTTTCCTTTCAATATCAAATAATACAAAGTAGGATAGCATAAATATAACGACTTATATCACATAGGCAAATACAACATATAGAAACAATATGTCATTAAGTAATATCCAGCAGCATATGTGATAAGTTCGCATAGACAAGCCTGGTGAACCATAACCATTTCTAAATACCACTAATGCTTCCTCCAGCCTCTGGATTCAGAACAGTGCGTTTCTGGTAACTATTAAGAGTCATTCAATGTAAGTAATGCGGTCTGAATGAGGCCATTCAATCTCATATTCATATGCAAATAAGAGAACAATGCCATTGGAATACTCTCATCAGCTCATATGTGCAGATATTAAGCCTCGCTACTATATCAGTCCGACACTGAATGGTCGACCTTTCGGTGGCCGACAGCTCCGACAGAACGAGGATTCGCACAGCGCCGCCGACCAAATCGAGAACATTTCAGCAGTGGCGGCCCGACCGAGACGTCACCGGTGTCGACATCCAAAGATGACAAAATCGACGATGAAGCGTTTCTCTCTCTCTCTCTCTCTCTCTCTCTCTCTCTCTCTCTCTCTCTCTCTCTCTCTCTCTCTCTCTCTCTCTCTCTCTCTCTCTCTCTCTCTCTCTCTCTTTCTCTCTCTCTCTCTTTCCCTCTCTCTCTCTCTCTCGCTCTCTCTCCCTCTCGCTCTCTCACATAGCAGGCAATACAGTATCCGGTCATGACTGTTGTAGCAGAAACCGCGGTTCGGTGGCGATTTTCACGGGTAGCTGGGTTTTGGCGGCCAATCTCCCAACCATGTCCGACTTGCGCTTCTGTCGTCCTCCTTTTTATCTTCTCTCCTTAGCCCTCTCAGCGGCTGTCCGTCGTGAAAGTCGCAGCGACTCGATGGGATTCGAACCGGCGTCCTCCTCAGCTCACAGCTGTTCGCGCGGCCGAGGAGCGGTCGCCCGCAATGCCGGCACGCGTTCAGAAGCGCAGCTCGTGTATGACGTCACCAAGTGACGCCACCGTGCGCCATCGCCGGACGCGGGTGCTGCGTTTGCCGAACCTGGAACAGAGGGGGGCGATGTTCATTAGCCGTCCGACACGGAGCAAGGAGAAGCGCTCCGGCGGAGCCGAGGTGAGCGTGTTAGCGTTAGTCGAAATACCCGGCGCTAATTGTAAAGGACAGGCAGGAGAGCAGGCCTCTTGGCGGGGGCGGATGGAAGAGGAGGGTCAGGGGTGATGGCAGTGGGCGGCAGTGGGCGGCGACGAGTCCGATTGCTACTGATCGCCGATTCTAACCACGACATCCAACAGACACCGTGGAGCACGAAACCATGCTCACGGCGCGGAGTCCGGCGAATTGCCTCCCCAAATCGGCGATTCGCCGGACCTGTAGTGTGGCTGCCGGGCTGGGGACTATACACTACGGGCACGGCTAGTGTCGGTGCCCGCAGGCGGTGGGCTAATCAGACACCTATCGGGTCAGTCCACGGGGACGGCCGCCGATTCTGAGCGTCATCCCCAGGTAATTATCAACATCAGGCGAACCGGAACTATATCTGGGTGACCCACTCAGGGTAACGCTGTCACCGCCCACTGGCCCGGAGATGAGGTATCCGGAGGTCAAATCCGGAGGGAAAGAGGGAGGAAAGGTGAGCGGCAGAGCAAAAGGACGACATTTCGCGCGAAAATATTTTCTGATGATATAGACTAAGACTTTTCATCAAAACTGTTAATTTTATCTGCCTAGCATGTGACGTTGGTTAGTTTCATTGTGAAAATATGTGGCACAATGATGGCTGATGGTGCACAGCCCACGCAGTGGCTTGCAATTCATGATATGCCGAGAGGAGTCCACCAGCAGAGCTAGATTTACCAGTAAGCGTACAAATGTCGACTAAGTTATTGGATGGAATCCCTGGCTTTCCATCTGGGCGTTGTCATCATACTTCCACCGCGCGGCGCTGAATTCTGCGGCATTTCAATTACAATGACGTACTGTGGATGGCAGCATGGCTGCCCGTGCGGATAAGGACAAGGGATGCCCTGCACGCGTGGACAGTTACAAACAGAGCCTGTGGCACGAGATGAGGAATTCTGGACCATGCATTATGTACTTTATAGTCCATGAGGTATACTGAAAGATCAATGAAGGTTAATGTTGATCAAATGCACATTAGTTCAGGCAGAGCAGTCCCTTTTTGTCATTGACACCGAGAGTGACTGGATATTCTTATATAAACCTCGAATCTTATGCATCTTTTTGCTTATTTCAATGTTATTCATACCATATTTTCTGTCACTAGCACTTAACATCGTCATCTTATGTCAAGAATATGGCCTATGGTTCCCAGAAAATAGGATTTTGAGCAAATTTCGTTAGGCGGCACGGGCGGACAACGATAGCAGCGCCTCTATCGGTCACTAGGGGAAAGCTGGGCTGTAGGCGACGAAATACCGGCTGAGTTGTCACAAGTTAAATAGGTTTATAGACATCCGTCTTGTGAAAAAGTTGAACTTTTGCCTTCAATATTTCTACAGGCAATTTTAGAAGTGCCCTCACATAGATTACAAAACGGTTTAAATTATTTTATTCACTTCAAGCCTTCCCTATTGTTCTTGATGATGCGGGAACTATTTCTAATTAGTGTTTCTAGCTTAGTAAAAGAACATATTGTGCAAAAGATGAAAAAAGCATAAATGGAAGATTTTAAATGCAATTTTCTGTAACAAATAATGGTAAATTCTCTACACATCAAGGGAAAGGTGCATGCTAACTGATAATTTAAAGTTCTTGGGGCCAGTTGGTTTCTTCTTTTCTTACGTCGCCCCAATGGCCGCGAATACACTTGTGATAACGCCTATCGTTATTGTCAAAAACGACAAAGAGCCAACATCTGTGCCGAGTTAAAATTGTTATAAATCCTTTTTCGTGTTTCTCCCTCTTCCACTCATTTTAAATGGATTATTTAGTTGTTGAAGACACCGAGTGTTGAATCAGTATCACGAGCTTGTTTAGCATAGCACACGTAAGAACAGACCACAAAAAGAAATAATGAATATGCTTTGAGAAATAGAAGGCATTTAAGGCTGTTTAACACAGACGCAGATCTATTTTCCGCACGACTTCCTTTGTGACAGGCCTGGCTGTCGTGTCTGGACCACGGTAATGTGCGCATTATGACATTGCCAGGGTAATTTCACCCCTGCCAAGCCCCTGACTCATAAAGATTATAGCAGCTTGAGAGTCGAGGAAACGGACAGCTCCATCATAGGGCAAAGGGCAACAGCTATAGGGACTTCTATCTATAAAATAAAATCAAGAAGGACTAAGCTATACGTATCACACCATTATGTTTTCACCTAAACATAACATTTTGAAAAAGAGATATCGTTCAGCTGTGGATGCTTTAAGAAAATAATAACACCAAACTTACACTAACCAGAACTTTTGTTGCTTACGGCTTTGTAGCTTTGTGTCAATCGAAAAAAACTTGTTTCAAGACATATATGTGGTCCCAGTAGAAACAAACAAATTGGATTAGTCGATGTGGGGATTGATCCTGTCAGAGTGGGCCTATGGCGGCCATTCGAGCGACATCTGTCAAGAAACAATAGCACAGCTCTAATTCACCCTAAAGCAGTGACCGTGTGCACAATTTACATCTGCCCATGTTTAAATTAGCGTGCAGCGCTCGTATCGGTTTGGTGTCGAATAACTTCTCGGCAGTAAAGGGAGCTAACTTCGTGTCGTGGCACTTTACGCGTCTGTCCTCTACAGATCAGTTGGCTGACCAGGTGACCCAATCGAACTGAGCAGCGACTGGGAGCTGCTGGCCACGTCAGAGATGCTGGTAGACCTTCTTTCAGGCAGCAAATGAAACAAAATTTACTGACCGTCATTCAATGTCGGCCAACATTACCCAGAAATGTGCACAGCCACAGCAAACGCTTTCTTGAGAATTATGAGTACATTCGATTGAAGCAAATGCATCATGCAGGTGCAAACAAATGTGCATCTTTTCATTAACATTCATGATTATCCTGAGTTTGCCACTCAATCGTTAGAAATTGGCTCAAACAAGCAAAATATTGCTTGCCATTATGCTATAAATTGTGCTTATGGGCTCGATATTTGCCACTTTCTATGAAACAGGCTTATTGGTGTCACTTTCGTGTTTAGACGCTCGATAATATTTGCGTGGGGGGATACTTAGCCACTTGAGTGCACCCACCATATGTTTAAATGCTGTAGGTATCGTACCTACACACATTCAGCATAAATGTTTCCATGTGCCAGATATGAGATAACTGCTAAACTTGCTGTTAATAGACACATGAAAAAGATAACCCATGAACGTTTTGTTGATGAGAAGTGCATCCATATTTGAATTAAATTTAAAACACAAAAATCCAGGATGGGCCTTGCCTCAGAATCGTGAAGTCCGCCAAGTGGCTGCCGTTTCATAGTTTGAAAACTTGGTGAGAACAACTCATATGTATATCACAAACGCAATGTATGAAGTTATTCTAGCCAGACACATACCTGGGTCTGCCGACTTTCGTGTAGAAATCCTTGAGCTCGCTGAGGTAGTTGTCGATGTCGCCGGATAGCATCTCGCCGCTGCCGGCCGACCTCAGGTCACGTGGCTCCGAGGCGGTCACGTGATGTCTGGGCAGCACCAGCAGAGCCGTGAGCAGTAGTGCCAGCGCCAGTCGCATGCTGTCCCTCTGTGGAGCGAGGGAGGAGAACTGTGAACACTGAGAAATGCTGGCATGACCGTGAACTATGGAGCTGGAGCACCAGCAGCACCAACTGGGAAGAACCGGCACCACCAACCGAAGAGCACCACCACCACCTTCTCCAATTATGCCAACGATATAGACGATCAAGTTTTATATGGTGTAATTTCCATCCGTCAGCACTATAAGGCTAATGGCCGGCCGCTCCTCAGAGGCGGTAACGAATCGTTGGATACTGTTCCGCAATGCACGGCAGCGCGGCGGCGCAGCATGGACCAGTGCGTTCAGAATAGATGGACGCATGGAACTGGACCGGGCGTTGGGCACAGAAGGACAGACGATAGTGCGCTTAGAGGGGCACAACACAGTCGATACAGAGCTGACTGGGGCCATGGCCATTGGCCAAGGCCAGTGCCAGTACATATGCAAAGAGACGCAAAGTTGGGCCACGGCACAGGCCATGAGGGCGTTCAGAGGAACACTGCTCCTCTCCATTAGAACGAAGACAAAGGGGAAATAAATTGGTAGCACGGAAATAACGGTATGCGGTAATCCATATAGGGAACGCACAGCTGACGTCAACCATTTCAATACAACACCTAAAGATAATTTGTTTGGATAATGGTGGTCAATGAGCAGTCTGCTCACCAAAAATCGTTGTCAGCAAATCTGAGGATTCCTCCAATGTTTCTTCTCCTCACTCGTTTCTCTCACAACTAGCCAAGCAAAGAGAACAGCAGGGTTTAAATAAAAGAGGTTGATTCTCTGACGTCAATGTTCTCCTGATTTATCCACCGCAACAAACGTAGGTGGAGTGAAAGCTGCCAACTGCGTCATGCGTGGAGTTTTACTGGGGAGGGAAAGACCGCACATTTTCTCCGAGGTCGCCAGCCGACGGATTATCATCGAGGGTCGTGTGGTGGACGCTGTCCCACCTGCAATGATCGTGAGGTAGACGCCACGCAGAAGAATATCGACGTAGATGATCTTCCATTTTTCAATGTGATTCATTACGCTTGACAGTGCTCATAGGGAGAGCGCTGTTACGGTGAAGATGGGCTACTCCGATGGATGCTGGGTTGTGCCCTAATGTGTGCGTGTGCAATGTGCATGTGTGTGGGTGTGGGAGAAAGGAGTTCTGAATCAACAGGAGGGGCTGCGCTGATGGATGCTGCCTGCTGGACTTACTATGCCAGTGGGACGGGAATTTACCGCTGAGGGAGTTATCCGCGCCAGTGGGACTGTCTGTCACTGAGGCCTGCAGCTCGTGGGCGATGTCATTGGCAACACGAGCCCCAAGCCCATGCCGCTAATCCGATCAGGAAATTGGCTTCATGAGATTAATTTGCGCCAAGCTGATTATGCACGTAGTTACCAAACTCTCAAACTTGCGCCATCGGAAAATAATTTCCAAACGAAATATGAAATGAATAAATCGAATGCTAGTAAGGCATTAGGTGACTATGGCTATTGAAAAGGGATGAAGACTGAACAGATACAAATGACAGTGATTATTTCACCAGTAACATACCCTACGCCGAGAAAAAATATCGAGCATGGGGTTCAGCGCACACAAAAACAGAGAGAATAAAGTCGCAGTACGCTCTTCGAGAAAAGTGAAAACATATATATATATATATATATATATATATATATATATATATATATATATATATATATATATATATATATATATATATATATATATATATATATATATATATATAATATATATATATATATATAGGCACAATATAGGCACAATTTTACATGAATTTGAAGCAGATGGCAAGAAGATCGTACGAAGTTTAGAGAACTTGGCAAAAAAGCAAACAAACGCCCGTTATGCTGTCATTTTTACACAAACATGCATATATATATATATGTATATATATATATATATATATATATATATATATATATATATATATATATATATATATATATATATATATATATATATATATATATATATATATATATATATATATATATATATGTATGTATGTATATATGTATATATGTTAACAGCATCGAGTTCAATGGCGAAATGATTCGTCAAATTCGGCCCACAGTTCCCTGTATTTCTTTTACAAATTCATTACCTTACGAAAATATTGCAGTGAATGATGTGGGTGGTTTCAGCGCTGAGGACATTGATTATTGAGCGGTAAAATTAATCGGCGTTGTGTGAGCGGCTCTCTAGCAGTGCTCAAGAGTCGAGGGTTCAACGACCAGCTTCATTTGGCATTGATTATGATTACGATCACATATTTCTATATTGTCGATGGCATGTCTCTCAACTTGTCATAGTAATGCTCGTGGCAACTGGACAAGTCCGTGCTTTTAAAAAGAAACCGACATAGTGCAATAGCCAGTAACAGACAAGTGTCAAGGATGGAGAAGCCTAATCCTATTAGTTCGTGACTGGCGACTAGTTATTAAGATTGACGTCATTCTCATCGTCCTTGATGAATTCGGTACGGAGTTTCAAACACAGAAAAACGCCAATTTCATGGAAAGTAGATCGTGAATGTCAATTTACAGCGAAGTCACTTCCCTGATCAAAACTCCGGATCATCCTAAGGTTTCTACTTCCTGCAAGTTTGAATAGCTAGCAATAAGGTGATCGTAGCCTGTCACTGTCCGTTTATATGAAACTCCTAGCAATGAGCCGAACCAAAGTAGCTCGAACAAGAAGTACAAACGCATTTGAACGAGAAAATAAATGTAATAGTCTTTAGAAACCGAATAGTTAGGGCCATTCTAAGACAGAGCGAGAAAGCAAATCCATGTTTGAGGTTTTGCATCTTTTTCTTGGAAGATCGACCGTCCCCAACCATCCATCACGGATGTCTCCGCACCACAGCGAACACGATGAAGCCTGTCACTTTGGCACCCTGACCTTTATATATGCCCATACTACGTGAAAATGGACTGTCAAGTGTTGAACTGCAAGGGGCCATACAGGTCATACTTTCAATGAGACGCGAATCTGATAGACATCGAGTTCAAACCGCGACTACCGCTTGATGAAAAAACGAAAAACGGGCATAAGCTTGGTCAACAATCCGTCTCACCTTACCCGAACGTTGACGACAGCTCAGTAGCTATCGCTAGGTGTTTGGCTGATTGCTCATGGGCACAAACGCTCATCAGGGAAACCAGCAGTTATCTGATATTATTTGGAATCCTGTGGGCTCGCTGACCGCAGTCATCTTTCATAGCACTGATCATGATGAGGCTTTCGTGAAGGCCGTAATGTGTAAACGCCTGACTCATGGACTTCATCACACCATTCGTGCGTCAATTTGGCCTCACGGCTCTGCCTCTCAGTTTCGCGATGGGGCCACAACAGTCGACGTCACACCCTGTTCCTCTGACGCCTATGACGATCTGTGGCCTCTGCGCCGCCAAATCCGGCTGGGGGCGAGTGCGACCACCGCCGCGTTGGCACGCTTTGTTGCAGGTGACCGGGCACGTGTCACCTATCCATCGTGCGGCCCGCTACCTGCGGACGGCGGCCGGACTCCATCTGAGCTGCGGAATGCGGATGTCTCCCACACCCCGCCGAGCGTGCTGGGCCCGTCAAAATTCCGTACAGGGGCTCGGCCAGACCGCAGGAGCTTGTTGAAAGCCGTACAGGATTGGCGAGCACTTTGACAGGACGTGAAACTTGATCCGTGTTTGGTGAAGTAGTAAGTACTCCGATGAAACGATGACGATCTCGAAGAACTTAATGTGGTTCCCAATGTAGTTGGAAACATTTCGTCATCTTAGAACAATGAATTTAAACGATTTCCAAGCTGGCATCCACCGCTGCGGTCAAATTGAAACCACAGCTAATAAAAGTTCGGTCATAACCTTATTCTTGACGATACATCTTCCATGAAAACCATTGAACTGCAGCTCTCCGCAAACTTTTGAAGCGTCACACTACAGAAAGTTTAGTATGGGGCGATTAAAGGATTGATATCTCTCTTGTTCTGTGGGGTTTCCACAGAACTATTTTCCTGGTTTTCAGCGACCGAAGAATCTGTCTCTGTTAGTTCTTTATCTGCGGCTTGCTGGGGGCACTGTCTTCTCATGCCTCTCTAGGAGTGGGTTTGACGTATGAGCACTTCACTTCTCACTTGACTGAGGCGGCGCAGGAAGGACCGACATGAGCTGATCTATTAGATGCAATCACATGTCCTCTCACCGCAAAACTACTCGGGTCAGTCTTGGTGCGGTGACGTTACGCCAATAAAAGTGTCAGCCGTTGAACTATTGTTTTCAGATTAAAACCATAAACTTTAAGAGCTAGAGCAGCGCTAAAAAACTTAAAGGTAGACTGTCACCTTTTTTTCACTTACCGGTTTTCGTAAGAGGTACCCGCCCTCACCACAGATGTCCAGTCCATTTTCCGTTATCCTCACCCTGTAACGCGCAATCGCCTCCCAAAGTTCAATTTGATGCCATCTTTTTCGCCGGTGAAAATGCTCATCACTAGGTTAATATCGAAAGCATGTATGACGCTTTTCATTACATTTTTGCATCGTAGAGATTCATTGTTATTTTTCTTGAATGTTGTGACAAATTTCGTAATACTAATATCAATTTCAACGGCAAAGACGTACATTTAGCAAATTAATGTCGAAGGTTTCCTAGTATACTAGCATGAAGGTGGGCCGATCTCTTAGCATTGTGAAGGATTTCAGGGAAAGAAAAAACTTTGTCGATTTTAATTAAGAGCATTTTACATAATTTTTAAGGAAAAAACTCGTCAAAAGGGTTTTATTTATCTTTTCTTATTCAAACATATTCAATTCAAAGGCGATAAATTGTTAATTAGCAAATTTGTGGTAGAAGACAATGCTTTTTTACTTGAAGGGAAGTGGTAAAGGGAAGGCCTGCGGGCCGATCTCTTCAACACTAGTGAAGGGAACAGACCCTATGACAAAGGTAAGTGGTAAAGGGTTTTTGGTTTGCCACCATGTTCTGCATGG